ATAATAGAATTCTTTTTTTCTAGATCATTTTAAAACCAACCCTGAGTCGATCCAACGCTTGTACATCAAGTTATAGGGGTTTTGTGAGAAATTCCCCCCCAAAAAAAAAGTGCAATGCGGAGAGTGTTTATAACTCAAATGTTTCTTAGCAATCAAATTCTACAAATTGCACATTTCTATAACAGAATTTTTCTTCTACTCTAATCATACTTGACCGTTCGATATACTCATTTTAAAGTTATAGTTAGCTTTTTGAGTTGCTTCGGAATCAAAAAGATTAGCCAGATAACAATGAAGGTTCAGTCATTCAATTTTCGTTAAAAGGGAAAACCCTTTACCTCTTTTCAATTACCCAAACCGACTTTGATTCTATTCTATCCTAGAGAAAGCTTGACCTAAAAACAGACCTAGCTAGATAACAATGAAGATTCAGCCATTCAATTAAAAGGGAAAACTTTTTACCCATTTTCAATTACCCACTCTTCAGCACTCTATTCTATCCTAGAGAAAGTTTGATCTAGAACCATAATAAAGCCCAAATCATCATTGATTCATTTCCATTAATTTAATGGTTAAATATCCAAATAGAAACTTTTTATACCTTTTTTTTTTGCCAATGCAAGCAATCATCATAGTTTTTTTTCGATGTAGAAATAAAATCGAAAAACACAAAAAGTGTTAGTCAGTTTCGGATTTCCTTGTTTGGGGGAAGTGAGAGGTGATTGCAATTTGCATTTGATTGCATTTGATTGCAATTTGCATTTGATTGCATTTGATTGCAATTTGCATTTGATTGCATTTGATTGCAATTTGCATTTGATTGCATTTGATTGCAATTTGCAATAAAGACATCCACAATCATTCAAGAAAATCGACTTTAACGATAAAAAGAACAATCAAAGATTTGATTTGAAAAGAATCCAATGGAAACGGTTTATGTTTAGGCTGTATTTTGGGGTTTTTTTTTTTAAATCTAGTTGTTGATTCAAGGAGAAATTAATTTCTCTTGAAAATTCCTGTTGAAAAACAAAATGCAACATTGCTTGTTTGATATTAAAGTTTGTTCTAAAGTTGTCTAAATAACTAAATAAAGTTGTCTAAACTTTGTCTTCCAATTCTTTCCCAATCAGTGTTGCGAGTTTGTCGAATTTACTATCGAAAAACTTAAGAGAATTCAATAGCTTTGAGTTCTTTTGAAAAAAAAAAACTAGTAAACAACCTAGATCTTCTCTTCTCTCGTGAGCAATTGATTGGATTTATTCTGTAATCAGTAATGAGATTATTTATCGCTTTTCTCTCTTAAAAATTGTTAAAAGCTTTTCAATATTTCTTCAATGTAAAAACAGCGTTTAACATTATTTGATAACATTAAGAAACACATTTAAATGTTTTGGCTGAATTGAGATAATCAAAAATTGAAGTTGATGTCAAGCTCCTTTTAAGGGGTAGACTAATTTCCGCAACTCGCCATAACTTTCTTCTAAGTCGGCCAATCTTTATGATTTTGGTTTCGTTTTGTTGCACTTATTGAGATCTACAAAATGAAACCAAAAGTCATAAAGATTGGCCGACTTAGAAGAAAGTTATAATGAATGGGGTGGCTACTTTGCGCCATTTTTTTTGCACAACTCGCCATAACTTTCTTCTAAGTGGACCAATCTTTATGATTTTTGGTTTCATTTTGTAGATCTCAACAAGTGCAGCAAAATGACACCAAAATCATAAAGATTGGCCGACTTAGAAGAAATCTATGGCGAGTTGCGCAAACGACCCAGTTGCGCAAAAAAAAATTGCGAAAATTAGCCTACCCCCCTTTTGTAGGAGCAGAGAAAAAAGGTGAAAATTGAATATTTTCGCTATTTTCAGTTCAGATCTCGTTTTATCAGCTGTTTTGTTGTTTTGTTTATCAGCAATTATAAATTTGTTCAAAACAATCTTTTCCAACAAAATTACCACAAATTTGACTGAAAAAACAACTTTTTCGAGTGAAATTTTAATGTAGAAAAGCGACCAAATGATAGGTTCGCTAGAGAGATGTCGACTACCGCTCAAACTATTATTAAATTAGTTGTAGAAGTCTAATTGGAAAGCTTTTGGTAGATAAATGTTGCCGAAAATTAGGGATACAATTCTCTATATAATACTTGACACTTTTGAAATAAATTAGACATTTCGCAGATATTTTTCAAAAAAGTTGTCACTATACTTTGCGGTCACCCTGTAATTGTAAGACTTTAATATTCATTGGTCAATTTCAATTGTAGTTGTAAGACTTTAATATTCCCTAGTCGATTTCTTGTAATTGTAAGACTTTAATAATCACTAGTCGATTTCAATTGTAGTTGTAAGACTTTAATATTCCCTAGTCAATTTCAATTGTAGTTGTAAGACTTTAAAATTCACTGGTCAATTTCAATTGTAATTATAAGACTTTAATAATCACTAGTCGATTTCAATTGTTGTTGTAAGACTTTAATATTCCCTAGTCAATTTCAATTGTAATTGTAAGACTTTAATATTCCCTAGTCAATTTCTTGTAATTGTAAGACTTTAATATTCCCTAGTCAATTTCAATTGTAATTGTAAGACTTTAATATTCCCTAGTCAATTTCAATTGTAATTATAAGACTTTAAAATTCACTAGTCAATTTCTTATAATTGTAAGACTTTAATATTCCCTAGTCAATCTGACTTCATTGTGAGATCTTTGATTCGCTTGGATCAAATCGGAGAATGGATTGGCATTTGAGAAAGAAAAATGGAAAAGAGATTCAATCAAGATCTCGAGAAATATCGACAAAGGAGGGGGAAAAGGAAAAGGTGTAAAAAGCTAGTGGATGAGACTGGATTTCGAAAGAAAAACAGCAGAAATGGCAACAATGATGGTAAGCTTAAAAGGATTTTGGAAAAGATTAAATGGATTAAGGGCTTTGGAAAGATTTGAGGTCGATTTCATAAAGCAACAAGCAAGGGATGACAGGGAGGATGAGGTTGTCCAAAGGGAATTGCTCTTGCTAGAAGATTGATTCGAAAAGAGCCGGATTTGTTAGACTTTACTATGAATGCGCACAGATTGACCATCACCTCCAACCAAACGACAGCACCCATTTTATTGGAAAAAACTTTCTGAATCCGTAAAAGTCCTGACCTGGCTTTTGTTTCGCTTGACCGGCTTTTTATATTGAAATCAGGTTCTGTCTTGAAGGTTTTGAAATTAGGCTTTAAAGCCTAGAAACCAGTTCTGATCCTGCTTTGCCTGGCCCACAAATGTCCCTGGGTTCGCCAGAAATCCGGTTTGAATCTAGGGCCAGCAAATCGGCCTCAAAGTGATCAAGGGACTTTAGGATACTTATTATTAGCTTAAAGAACAGTAGTATACAGTTCCCAAGTAAGGTTAAAGAAAGTTAATTCAGGTCATATGTAAGTTTTTTTTTTACTGTAACCACAAGTACTGAATAAAGAAAAGTGTTAATAGTAAGAAAATTGAATGAATCAAATCAACGTCAACGTTGAAAGCTGAAATTCAAAAAAATTTCGATTGGGAGAAGAAAATTATTGAGTAGTTTCGTTTTTCTGAGGGTAAATGGGGATCTTTGACGTCGATTTGGCATCGAATTTGGGAAGAATTGGAAGAAAGAGATGAAGAAAGAACTGAAGAAAGAGCTGAAGAAGGAGCTGAAGAAAGGGTCAGTCAAAGAGGAACAAATTGGATCCAATTATATCCACATACGGGTATCCACAGAACAAAGGCGAAGTCTCACAGCTCACTTTTCGAGTTTGAGAAGAGTTCTTCTCACGTTTTCTTTGGATAAAAGAGTTTCACGGTACACATTTTTGTGGAGAAGAAGAGGAAAATGACTGCTTGACAATCTGCTTGTTCATTGCTTTTTCTTCTTCTTCTTTTCCACTTTTCAACCTTTCCAGCTCTTCCACCATTCAAAAGCACTCATGAAATGACTAGAGCTGAACCTGAGAGACTTTGGTGTTCTAGGAGATGACTATTCATCTCAAAGAACACCAAACGATTAATGATAATGGCACGTAGGACTGGAATTTGAAAACTGAAGAATAGTTGCTCTTTAAAAATAAAGATTTTTTTTAAAATAACAGCATTTGATGATAGTGTCAGTTTGTGTCAGATAGTGTCAGTTTAATATTTTTTTAAAATATTCTATAAGAAACAAATGCCGGACTGTCGAGTTACATCAAGAAAATCCGAGTTGCCGAGTTGCCGAATTGCTTTAGTTTTGAACCACCCTGTAGATTGGTATTGATGTAATAAATTTTAACAAGCACAATGGCAACGTGTCAGAAATCAGTGCCGCTTATCTTTCTCGATACGAGCGCAAATCTTTTTTAGTCCGTAATGTGACGGGGATGAAAATAAATTCTAACTGTCAACTTTCAGAGAAAGCGTCAATGATCTAAGCACCAGTTGAAGAGCTTTTTCTTGTTCTTTTTAATGTTATGCATTTTACAATATCTGAGCAATTCTTTATACAAAATTGTACAACTCGTCACCAGCAATAAGAAAAAAGCAATTTCTTTTCAATATCCCGAAAGTCGAGTGCCACCCGTAGTGCGCAAGAAGTAGATATATTTATATAAAGATAGTAATTTAGCCTGGCACTCGACCTTTACAAAAAAAAAATATAATTAAAAAAACTAAATAAGCAATGAGCAAACGAAGTCTATCACATGGAAGACTTACATTACCCTAAAGGGGCATTATAACTACAGCAATCGCATGACATGTTATTTCGGAGATAAATGTAAAGTTTACAATACTCTAGAAGGCATTATCTAGAATACAATCACTACCATAAACATCATGGTACTGTCTGATAATCAAAAGAGTTATAAATGGGAAAGCTCAAGTCCTAAGCCTAAGGCATCGAATTCCGAATGCCCTAGAATTCTATTAAGATAGAATGGAATCTAAAAATGTGGAAGTGCTTACAATAAGACGATAATCCATCCATTCTACAATATCCCATTCAAAGAGGTCTCTTCTCGGCGGCACATGGCGCAATATGTCCTTGACAGCATTCACACTCATCACCGGGTACCCATTGAAGGGAATCCCCGTACGTGGTAAGCAAATCCAAAACGACTCCGTTCGTCCAGCCGAAACCCTCTTGCACATCGTACTCACCGCCGCCAGCGCCCACCTTGTAGCACGGGGAAACGACGTTGTACTGAAATTAGAATGAGACTTATTTCTTTTTTGTTTCTTTCTTTGTTTCTTTCTTTCTTTCTCCTCCCCCCTTGTCTTTCTCTCTTTCAGCAAGCTAAGAATAGCTGAATGGTTAAAGCAATTCCCTGAAAAGCGAAAGGCTAAGGGTTCAATCCCCTCTCCGGAAATCTATTTTCTTTTGCCAATTCTTTCACTTCTTTATCGAAAAATCGTTCACGAACTCGAAATCCTCTTCCAATGCTCACCTTTTCGAACATTTTCCCACCCGAGCTTCGCCACATGTTAAAATTCTTGCGAATCCATTTCTCAGCGATATTGTGCGCCATTTCGTGTTGCTGACACGCGCGAAGACCCTAAATCGATCGAGTTGATGAAAATTGTTATCAAAGATATCGTTAGAGTGTGTTTTCGCTTTTCTAAAAGTCATTTATTTTAAAAAGCTACCTTACTCAAACAGCTAGTTTCCATTTGATCAACCCAATTTTGGATTAGGAATCAAAAGGCTCAGTCAAATGATGTCATTGGGATTTGGCTGATCGAATGGAAGCTAGAGGTTTGAGTACAATAGTTTTTACAAATAAGATGCATTTTAGAAAACGCATTAGATATCAAATGGAGATATGGAAATTGAATCAAATTTGGAAGCTGGATCTTGAAATCTATTAGGTTGAGGAAAAAATAATGTCGGTTTTGAATTCCCGTTGTTGGCAATTCTCCAGTTCTTTGCTTATAGACAGCTTTAGCGAAAGACAATGCCAAAAATGGTTTCAGTGGTTCAAAGATGGAAATGAAAGTCTCCAAGACGAGGAACGGTCTGGACGATCAAAGGCCAACCCCCACAACCAAAACCGACATTACTTTTTCCTCAACCAAATAATTGATTGAAGGGAATTGGAATTACTACGATTGCGTAATAAGTTATCTTTTTTTTAAATTCATCTTCTCATGTACCTGTATGGCAATCCATGTGGTCGGTGCCCACGCATTAGGGAAATCCCATTGTTGCCCGCTGGCAACCATCGACGACGGAAGACCACCCGGATATCCCAACGCTCCACTCTTTTTCAAATACTCGCATAAACGAGCTCCGTCAAAGCCTGGAAATTCAGGCTTTTAATTTCCTGTTTCTCTGTAAATTTTAGAATATTTCGAGTCCACTTTTTTATAACTTTTTTATAAAAAAGAAATCTTTCTCACCCTCATGCACACATTCGGCGAACATCGGGAAGAGATTCGTGTCGTTAAATTGTTTCGTTTGCTCCCGAGAGACGAGATCGAAATCGAACCAACACCCGAGCTCTTCGTTCCACAAAATCTGGAATCAAGCATAGGATTGGAGCAAAAGAAACTCTATTCAAGTATTTCAGAAATGAATATGTATACTTGCCTTCAATTGAAGCGCTGTTTCTTTAAGAGTTTTAAATGCCAACCTGTTTGATTGCTTGTTTTAGACGATCGGCGAGATGAGCGCACCTCTTTGCCCCATCAATATCCCCAGTCGAGTCGCACAACTCACCCATCATTCGATAGTTTGCATAAATGATCGCATTCAGCTCCACCGGGATTAACTGGCTTGTTCTAAACGTTTTCCCTGTTTTCAATTGATCATTTGATAGCGTTAGGTTCTACAGTAATCAGCACTTCTACTAGGCTATAAAAGTACTGTACTGTAGAAAGATGGTATAGGGGAACTGTAGAAGAGTTAATCCTTTCCCTATCTCACCTTGTGCCGCTCATTTTCCCCGCATGTGGCCCACTCGATTCAAACCATCGAGCCGAGAAATCCCGTCCACTCTCCGCTGCCGCTGCGATGTCACCCCAAAGGCGACGCTTCTCGGATTCTAAAAAGTACAATAAAATCGAAATTTATTGTTTCTTTAATGGATTTATTTATTGTTTTGTTTCTTTTGATACCTTCACACAAATGATGCGCTGATTCAACGTCCTCTCGATAAGATTCCGGTCGAGGACCATCAGCTGACACCACATATCGATAAAGGGATCCAATCCAGTGCTCCTCTTTGTAAACACGATTGTTCTCGAAGAAAGCCATCTGAAAATATTTTAAGGTAAGTATAAAACGCTTTAGGAAAGCTACCGTAATCCCTGAACAATCAAAGCAAGCCTCATTTTTCATGCAGTTAGTACGATAGCTTTTTTTTCTTAGATCAAAAGATCTGTAAGAATTGTAAAAAAGAGTACTCTCAAGGATACTGTAGAAGTTGATGGATATATAGAAGCTATAAAGGACTATGATTATAGGGCCAAATTTCCATGACCCTGACCCTGATCTAACCCGAGTCCGGCCCTGACCCTAGCCTAGCCTGGTTTAGCTTATGACTTTGAGAACCAAGCTGTCTATGAGTACTCTAGAAGTATTGTATGCTGTAGAAATGGAACTACTGAAAACTTTTGACTGTTTACCTCTTTTCTCAGCGTTGGTAAAAGCTGGGCGATAAATTCGGTATCTTTTGTCGCCTTGTAGTACGCGTGCACACACCAGGCGAGCACCGGCGGTTGTGATCGATTTAGGTAATAGATCCGATTTCCATTCGGCACAAAACCATATCTAGAAATTGGGGCTTTTTAAAAACGAAATTCTCATCTTTGGGTAACTGTTCAATGAGGAATTGCATGTTGTGAATCATTCCGCGAACTGTTTCAAACATTTGCGACGCGATGAGACCCTTGATCGTAAAGAACGAGTCCCAGTAGTAGAGCTCACGAAAACTGAAAAACCGTAATCGATGAGAAGTTTAGCTAGCTATTGGGTAGAAAAAAAAAATTGGTTTTTTTTTTTTTTTTTTTTTTTTTTTTTTTTTTTTTTTTTTTTTTTTTTTTTTTTTTTTTTTTTTTTTTTTTTTTTTTTTTTTTTTTTTTTTTTTTTTTTTTTTTTTTTATTTTTTTTTTTTTAAAAATTTTTTTTTTAAAAATTTTTTTTAAAAAATAATTTTTTTGAAATTTTTTTTTAAAAAAATTTTATAAAAAAAAAAAAAAAAAAAAAAAAAAAAAAAAAAAAAAAAAATTTTAAAAAAAATTTTTTAAAAAAAAAAAAAAAAAAAAAAAAATTTAAAAAAAAATAAAAAAAAAAAAAAAAAAAAAAAAAAAAAAAAAAAAAAAAAAAAAAAAAAAAAAAAAAAAAAAAAAAAAAAAAAAAAAAAAAAAAAAAAAAAAAAAAAAAAAAAAAAATAAAAAAAAAAAAAAAAAATAAAAAAAAAAAAAAAAAAAAAAAAAAAAAAAAAAAAAAAAAAAAAAAAAAAAAAAAAAAAAAAAAAAAAAAAAAAAAAAAAAAAAAAAAAAAAAAAAAAAAAAAAAAAAAAAAAAAAAAAAAAAAAAAAAAATAAAAATTTCAAAAAAAAAAAAATATTTTTTTTTTTTTTTTTTTTTTAAAAAAAAAAAAAAAAAAAAAAAAAAAAAAAAAAAAAAAAAAAAAAAGGAAATTTAAAAAAAAAAAAAAAAAAAAAAAAAAAAAAAAAAAAAAAAAAAATGTTTTTTTTTTTTTGAAGAAAAAAAAAAGAGGGTTTTTTTTTTTTGGTTAAAAAAAAAAAAAAAAAAAAAAAAAAAAAAAAAAAAAAAAAAAACACAGGAGAAGAGGGGGGGAAAAAAAAAGGAAGGAAAAAAAAAAAAAAAAAAATTTTAAAAAAACACCACCTTCCAAAAAAAAAAAAAAAAAAAAAAAAAAAAAAAAAAAAAAAAAAAAAAAAAAAATATTTTTTTTCAAAAAAAAAAAAAAAATTTTTTATTTTTTTTTATTTTTTTTTTTAAATAAAAAAAAAATATTTTTTTAAAAAAAAAAAAAAAAAAAAAAAAAAAGGAAAATTTTTGTGTTTTATTTTTTTTTTTTTTTGGAGGGGTTTTTTTTTTTAAAAAAAAAATTTTTTTTTTTTTTTTAAATTTGAAAAAAAATTTTTTTTTATAGAAAAAAAATTTTTTTTTTTTTTTTTTTTTTTTTTTTTTTTTTAAAAAAAAAAAATTTTTAAAAAAAAAAAAAATCTTTTTTTTCCAATAATATTTTAGATATCTATTTACAATCCATAGTTTAGATATCTCATCGATTATGATATCTATAAGATATCTGTATACAATTCATAGCTTAGATACCTCATCGATTACGGTATCTATGAGATATCTAAACGATGAATTTTATCTCGTAATCTATAACAATCTATACTAGAAATATTTGTACAATATTATATTATAATTTTCTAGAAACTGACAATGGTTGTCGGTTTCCAATCTCTCCAAAATCTTTATCCGTTCCCCCAGTAAACCAAAACTTTCAAGAGTACCATAATCTATGCCAGATAGCTATATTATACCGTAATCAACGGTATATTATACCGTAATCAATCAATTTAATAAACATCAACGATTGTTTATTGAATATTTTTATGTAAAAACTTTCTCAATACTCACCGTCCGCCAGGCACGATGAATGGGTGTGGAAGGGCGATTAGGGAATACCTTGATGGGTCTAAAAACGCGATTTCTTTTATGATTTTAATACGAGTTTTTTTTTTGATACTTATTCAACTCTTACAGTAATTCAAGAGCCTTGAAAATAAGCTCACCCCCGTGCACTAAATCCTTGACTCGTCGCGTTAGTGTTGGCCACTTTTTATGCAACACTTGCGCCCATTCCCGATAGCTCTCATCGTGAATTACTAAACAAATCGATAAATAGTTAATCAAATATACTTTATATAATTTATATATTGAAATTCTCAAAGATTTTCCTTAGAAAATCGGTTTTATTGCTCAATTTGACTCATCAGCTTTTAAATCGATAGATATAATTAAGAATTTTTCTCCGTACAAGGGTTAGGCGGATCTGGAACCAGATCCGGATCTCTACGCAAGAACACAAAAAACGCTACGCCGGCTATTGCCACACTACTAAATGGCTATTGGAGCGTCGCGTAGCCGCCGTAAAGTTCTTTGTATTCTTGCGTAGAGATCCGGATCCTGACCCGCACAGCCCTGCTCCGTACCATCATAAGCTTTTGTGTCGGGATGGAAATCGACAGGTGCCACCTCCTCCAACTCGCAGCCAGGCTCATCAAAGTGTGCCTCAACAAAGCTTTTCACTTGTTCATCCGAGATTTCCCCCTGTGATTCCAAAATATTCCACGCGGCCAGCGTCACTTCTGAAATTGATTCAATGTTCTGGGTTTTCTATTGAATAGCTTTCTTATGGTATTTTAAATTCTACAGTACCCCAAAGTACAGTACATCTTATCTATTACCGTACTCTAAAGTGTACAGTATTACTTCTAGACTTGTCTTAAGGCTCTATAACTCCATAGCTACAGTACCCAACATTGATTTCACAAGAGAGTTCTATTGGGTTTCACAAGAGAGTTCTATGTTCTATCGGGTACTCTTTTTACAGTACTTTGCATTCATTCTACTACAGTACAGTATCCCAATAGCTCCTGATTTCTATAGGTTACGGTACTTTACAGACTACAGTCCTCTGAGTTCATTTTCTATAGTACAGCACCCTCGTATCTCTGAATGGTTTCAGTGGGATCAAGAAAGAGAAATCCAAAGTCCAAAATGTATTTTGATGAAATTTGCCCCGAGCTATTCACGTGAAAAAAGAGAGGAAATAACGGGAAAACTTGAGAAACACAAAGTGCAAAAACACAAGGAAATTGTGTGTTGATGGGTGACAGAAAAGAGATGCACTTGGTGGGAAAAATCTCTCGGAACTTTTTCTTCCCTCTTTCTTGAGCTCATTAGTTTTCTTGGACCCGGAAAGAGGCTGTTTTGAGATGAAATGAGGAACTTGGAGTAGCTAGGTAAATACGTTCAAACCCTAAAATAAAACAAGGTACTAGTTTTGAGTGCTAGCTTGAGTGGTCGAAGTACTAAGCCTGAACAAACAGATACAGTACCCTGTCTACAGTAGCTTGTCATATACAAACAGAATACCATGACAGGACAATAAGCTGTTGTTTTAAAACTTATTGTTAAATAAATAACTAGTACTAAGGTTCAAGGATGACCGCTTTTTAAGCTTTACTTTAAATCTTTCTAATCAACCAAGCACTTGAATATACTGAACAATTGAACAATTATTAATGATTTTCTTTTCCAAACCTGGATCCAGTTTGAGCGGCATGTCGACGAAATGCTTGCAATCGATGAAAATCTTCGAATTTTGCACAGCCGCTAAAAGCGAGCCGCCACAATAAATGTCGAACACGGGTGCACGGGTACGCATCTGGAAGAATGGGAATCGATATAAATGAATGGAAATTATGTAGAGTGATGTGGATTCGGAGATTTCAATCAAAAAAAACAACTCACATCGATGAGTACGGTGGCCTGGGGAGATTGGATGAAACGGATGGATGAGTGGCCGAGAACTGGCGATGGGGTGATCAGGAGGAGACGGTGACCGGATCGATGGGATGGATGGGATGGATGGGATGGGATCCCCGAGGCTGAGCCTGGAATCTCACTTGTACACTGAGTAACTTTATCACTGGAAAGGAACTCGAAACTAGACTGGTTACTGTATTGGATCTGGTGAAGGCTATAGACAACTGAAAGAGTTCAAATGATTGCTTAATTTAAAGAAAAGAGTGTAAAATAGGAAATGGTTAGCAGAAATCAGTATTCGATAAAGTACCCTGCATACGGTACAGTGCTTTTGAAATGTCTTATCTTTAGTTTTCTTTCGTTTTCTTTTAGCTTTAAAGTACTGTATCGGATGCAGGCTATAGAAAGCTGAAAAAGTTCAAATAATTGCTGAAAAGAGACAAAAGAAGGAAAGAAAAGAGTGCAAAATAGAAAATGATTACGGTAACAAAATCCAGATCTTTAAAAAAGAACGTCTCAAATTCAGGGCAATACTTTTAAAAGTCAGTCAGCCAAATCAAAGTCAGTCAGTCAGTCAAAAAAGTTATCAAAACTGATACAGTCGGTTATAACTCATAAAATTTGCCCGGAAAAAGTTCTCTTTTCAAATGTAAACGGAATTTATTTAAATGAATGCAAATGAAATGTAAATTTAATGGTATTTATGTAATATAGCCGACAAGGTACCAAAAAATGTTACGAAAAAAGAAATTGAAACGGGAATGTGGTGGTGGAGTGAGTGATGGTTCTGATAAAGGACGTGGGGCGGTGGGGTGAGCCTTTTGGACCCCGTGCGGTGGGCGGGACATCGCGAACTGCGAGATGCACCGGGAAGAAGAACGGGAGGAAAGAGTGGGTGCATGGGAAACCCGAGAGTACCCACAGACAAGGGCATTGTGAGCAATGGAGAGGTGTCAGAGATGCAAGGAGAAAAGAGAGCTGGCGGCAGAGGATCCTCGTCTGGATCCCCTCCACATCTACACATCGATTTCTTGTGAATTGTGAAATCACTCAATAACACTGCTGATCTCTGAATACTCGATTCTCATATGGCCATTTCATATGGCCTTGTCAATATGACGAAACACTCAAATATCTAGGTCACGATAATGATCGATGCAATAGAGAAAACAATCCGATTATCGTTTGGTCTTTGGCTACTTTGGACTTTGTCCTGACTGGCTAAGCTATCAATTTCTCAACAGAAAATGAAAAATCACTGAGCCAGATTGGAGATGTTTTTGTTTTTGAGCACAAAGTACACCTAGGCTAAGAGGCTGGAGTCAAAACAGGCTACAATGGTCAACGGTGAACTGTTTTTTTCAGAACAAATCTCAGAATCGAAGTACAGTAGCCTATCGAAGTAGGATAGCCTCTCGAAGCACCATAGCCTAAGTACTGTAGCCTATTGAAAGTACGGTATCTCCAGATAAACGAGTTATGGTAGTTTTTTTTCCACAGTAACCTCGGTCCCACTTCTACTTGAGGATCTATTTAGGCAGATAATTTATAGTAAAACTAGTTCGTTTAAACAGGTTATGATAATTTTTGTCTACAATAAGCATTAGAAAACACCAATCTATTTGGATAAAGTTCAATTCTTGCAAAACGCTTTATGTTAAAGATTTTTGGAAGCCAAAATCCTTTTCGCTGAATCCACCGATCAATCGGTTCATCAATATGTTTACATCAAAATTTCCAAAAAAAATTGCATAGATTTGAATGTCAAAGAAATGGTTATCAATGAGCAGAGACAAAGAGACTTTTTCTCGATTATTTCCAAGGTAGCATTCATTCATTTCCCCCTTCAATCAAATGGTGATCTTCACGTGAATGAAAGCAATCAAAGACATCAAAACTTGAAAGTGATTTTTGGGGAATCCCTGAGAAATTCTCTCTACTTTTTCAGTCGATTATCATTTCGATTCACTTTCATAAATGGGGATTTGCAAAAATTTGTTTTTCGATAAAAAAAATCACAAATGAGAGTTTTCTTTTTTTCTAATTTTCTATCACCAGTTTAAGCCAAGTTGAGAAGAGTTTTCTGTTTTGAAATTGAGAAGAAAATTGGGAAGAAAATTGAGAAGAAAATTGAGAAGAAAATTAAGAAGAACTTCCTTTAACCTCAATCTACTGTAGAAGTTCGCAAAATTTTCTCTATCAAATTCTTTTACAGCATATCACTTTCAAATCTGGTAGCACATTGCAAAGTGCAAAGCAAAGTCAGTTTTCTCTCTATTTTAATAATCAATGAAGTTTTGTAGTTTAAGCCAAGTTGAGAAAAGTTTTCTGTTTTGAAATTGGAAAGAAAATTGAGAAAAAAATTGAGAAGAAAATTGAGAAGAACTTCTTTAACCCCAATCTACTGTAGAGAAGTTCGCAACAATTTCTCTATCAAATTCTCACTACAAAACTTCATTGATTATTAAAATAGAGAGAAAACTGACTTTCAAAACTGGTAGCACATTGCAAAGTCAGTTTTCTACCTATTTTAATAATAAATGAAGTTTTGTAGCTTGTTGTTGTTAAAAAAATTGTTCTATAAATGAAGATTTCTAGAATTTAACACTAATCTAAATTATCAAAAAGTTCGATTTGCATTTCATTCTGGCCTTTTTCTCAATTAGCATTGAATCTCATAAAAAAATAAACATTCTTTCGAAATTTAGCACCAGCTTTCCCGTTAGAAGTCGAAATTTTCGTTAGACTGACAAACTTTTCCCTAGTTTTTCGAATTCCCTGGATTATCAAGCCTCCTTTTTTTCCTTTCTTGATTGACTATAGTTTCATGTGATTAAGAAGTTGATCTCAGCAGCCAATTGGTCTTTTGAGCCGGAGGGAGAGAAACAGAAAAAAACAAATAAAGAGCTTTTCCTCTCGTTTCTCATCTAACCGGAAGAAAATAGAAATCACGTGTGTTCTCAAAAAAAAGAAAACTCACACAAAACAAAGGGATTGGTGAAACTTTCTTTTCCTCGATAATCAGATTAGAGAAGATTGGGGAGAAAAAATGAGGTGATAAAGTGATCCTTTCACTCAAATGAAAATCTATTCCGAGACGCTCATGTGAAACTTTGATCAGACAAGAGAAATTCAAAGGTGCTATTGTTTTGGGTAAAGTTTCGTATCAATTATCTGCCTTTACAATTAAACTCTTAAATTGAATAGCTTAAATATCTTAAATCAATAATCATTTCAAATCCTTTTTGAACCTGTCAAAAGCATGTTGTCAAAAGCATGTCTCACTTTAAAGTACAAAAATTTAATCAAAATCCTTTGATCTTTGATTTTTATTCAAAAAAAGTTACGCTAGTCTTTTCATAATGAAAGTTTCTTAAACAAAAATTCATTAGTAGAGCCAATATTTTTTTCTATAAAGAGAAAAATGTACTTCCCAATTATCGTAATACCCGTAATTTTGGGTATTACGGAAGTACATTGGAGTACTACAGTAAGTAGTTCAATTTCGGGTATTACGGTAATTGAGAAGTGCATTTGTTTCCCTAAATTTGCCTTTAAAACCGTAAAAACTAAGATTTTCATTGTATTCTTCGAATTCACATTGTACTACTACATAAGATTTGGTTAAGGAAGTTCCCAATTTTCCATTCTTTAGATTTTCCATTCAAAACATAAATCAATCAAGTCAACAGTTCAGCACTAAATTTTAATAAGCTTACCGAAAACTTGATGAAATCGTCGCACGGCGACCGGCAGTTGCGATTTCGAGGTGCTTGGCTCATTTCGTAAGACAGCAAAAATCCCGGTGAAATGATTGAAACGAGAGTGGACAGCACAGGGAGAAACCATTGGATTGGAGACAATTAGCAATTAGAAGTAGTTTAATAGTCTTCGAAATTAAAGGAAAAACAATGCAAGTTCTTTCTGCTTACTTGGTCATTCGGTTCGTCTCTGCCTGTTGAATGGAAAAGAGAAAAAAAATCGATTCAAGGCAGGCTGTCTGACAAAACAACAACAAGAACCTTTTCTCTACACTTTTCGGTGAGCTTTAAAAATAGAGGCAGTAAATTTGCCCAGTTGATCAGCACATTAGCACATTTTAATATGTAACTCAAAAGATTTATATCATAATCCACTTCGAAATTTGTGTACCACACCTCCGATTGAATATTTTTTCGACATTTTTTTAAAATTCTAGCACGACTCTTAAACAGGTACTTTTCTTATCCAACAATAAAATCACAAGATGACCTGCGATCACCAAGACTAACATCACTTCCCGCCACGTGACCACGTAGAAGTTACGTGTTTACGCCAATCCCCCAAAATTGCCTAATCATCCGTAAAAACGAATTGAAAAATACCTATCCAGTTGTCAAACAGGCCACTTACCATTTTCATCCATTTTCATCCGTGCTCACTTTTTTGTTTAAGAACAAATCAATATTTATACACCGGAATTTGCAACTAAATATACTTACCGTAATACCTGTAATAGGCGCTACTATTACAGGTATTACGGTACGTAAAAATGATAAAGTCCAAAGAGATCACAGCACCGAAACCGCCAATATTAAAAAAAAAGGTAAACATAAATTCCACCGGTAAAGCCATATCACCCTTAGATGTCTAGCTCTGGATGTCGAGCGATTATCATCTCAGCTGCACGCTCCACCTAAACGCAAGACATATTTTTAGGGTTGTTTAAGGGGGTACCTGACGACAGAAGAGCTCAATCTGGTCATCCCACATTTCAATTGCAGTTTTTTCTAAGCAATAAAAAAGTGAAATTAAAAACAAGAAACCCTAACCAGCAAAATGTAAATAACGACCAATTTGATCAATATTCCCCTTGAGACGATCAGAAGATATCATTTGCGCTGCCACCCTTTCAGCCTAAATATAATTTTAGAGATCATCTGTTTACAAGCGAACCTCTTGTTCGTTCACTCCCAGAAGAGCGGCAAGTGTGGTCAGATCTATATTTGAATAAACTTGACCGACGGCTGTCATATTGTGTTCAACCTAAAGAAAGAAGTTCAAACATAGACACAATAAAATCCACCATAACTCCCCGAATGATTGACTGACCATTATCGAAGTTTCGTTGCCAAGTTTTCAAATCTTTCTCGAAATCAAGTAACTAAACGCAATTGGGTTGGGAAGCTTTAAAAAATAATTTTTACCTCATCCACTTTGATAAGTCGCTCTAGGAATAGCTTTTCAAGCAGTGTGTAGCTGGGAATTGCTTTGGCCCTCTCCTCTTTTCTCAATTTGGCCAAAAGACGAGTACGCTGCGTACCTGGAAAACTTCTATTTTTGTAGAAAGAAGTTACAGTACCAGGAGCTGCAAGAATTGTACAAGTCATTGCGGCAGATATAGCATGAAGTTGGTCCGATGACGGTACAACAGCACATTGGGAAAGCTCGTAATATCTACAAAAAATTATTCCAGATACCTATTTGCTACCTAATACCTTTGAGCTGCTTCAATAAATCTACGTCGTCTGTCCAAAACCCGAGCCATTAAAGCCTTAAAAAATCTTTCTATTGAACGGAATCAATAAATTTACCTTATGTTCAATGTTCAGCTCTTCATCCTTCGCCTCGGCCTGAAGAAGACTAGCTCTGGTTGCCGATCTAGAGCTCGTTTAGCAATTTTAGTGAAAAAGTTTTCTCGCTTAATTGATTGAAATGACATACGATTCAGCATCATCAGTTGCATCCCCTTCCAAATACAATTGTCCCATTCGCAAATACATTTCCATTTTAAAAGAACTCGAGTGAGAGCTAAATAAAAAACTAAATAAGCTTTTTCTTGTTTAGCCAACCGCTGGCTACTTTCCAAATTGATGGCGAGCAAAGCCGAAGCGGCTTCACACCAACGGCGTTCTGTTTCGAGCGCGTGGGACAACTTCAGTCGCAAACTTGTTACCTAAAATAAGAAAAATATTTTACTAAATTAAATCTCAAGTTACCTGATCTTCATATGAGATGGCTCGACTTTGAGTAACATTCAAGACCGAATTCACAATTTCAATTAACTTCTAGATTTATCTTTAACATTAAACGTTGAAGACAAAAAACCTGCGAAGTTGGAGGACGCTCTTCCAAAGCTTGATCAATAAGTCCAAGAAATTGTCGTGAAACCACCAAACTCCCGGTTTCTTTATTAACAACTAAAAATAAACAATAAAGATTTACAATACAATTTACAAACCAGCTTCAACCAAATTTGTCAGAACTGTCACATCTGTTGATTGGGGAGCATCTCCGTTGTACACCGTCTTCAAGAGCTCAGCAAGTCTAAAGGCAACTTTATTGCGTTACAAAAAGTTCCGAGTGACTCTTATTTGGTATTCTTTTAATATATTTGGTATCCTTTTAATATAGCTTAATACAAACACAATAAAGAAAACTCAAATCTTTATTGCTTACTAAAATCTGTGCTGAATTTTGCTTTAACCTGCGCTTAAAATATTTCGATCATGCATTAAGAAATAAAAACGCACTGTTCCAACTGTGACTTATGATCACCGCCACTGGCATAAATTCGGCTCACCGCGTCATTCATCCTAAGTGAGTTTTTTTATTAAAATTCATCAAAATGTGTAAGATAAGTGCATAGTTCGTTGACCATCGTTCTGTAATAAAAACATTAGAAAAAACTTTACTTTTCATAGCCAAAAGCCAACAATTAAAGCAAACAATGACAACAAAATGATAACTTCGCACAAGAAAAAAATGAGCAGAAATTCCGACGCAGATTTAGAAAAAAAACTTAATAGAGAGTCAAGAATCTTTGAGATCTGTGGGCAACGAATTAGGCCATTCCATCAGCATCTTCCTCATCTTGTGGTTTTGGCGGGCGAGGTTTCGGGCCACCAGATGCTTGTTTCATCATGATGATTTGATCCACCTTGAGAATTGTTGCGGCTGCATCGGTGGCAAGTTTGATGGCGCTTCGTTTGCCTAAAGTGAGACGTTGAAATGTAAACTCATTAGTTCAAACCAGCATAGAGATCATAGATGTTAGCTTCTTTAGCGTCGAAAACGCCACGATTAAAGATGTCGACTCCCCAGTTCTTCTCGCCTTTCTCGTGTGCAGCATAAAGCTTATTCAAAATTTCATTCGCCTAAAGTGAAAAATACAACAAATAACTTTGATAGCGGATTTACATCTAGGCCGGCATTCTCAGCAAGGGACTTGGGGAGAGTTTCAAGAGATGAAGCGAATTTTTTGATCGCGTATTGCTCCAAACCCGGGCATTTGTCTCCCCACTTTTCGATTTGTGACGCAAGTTCAATTTCAACAGCTCCTGCTCCAACCACAACCTAAATAAAAAAATAGTAAAACTACAAATAGAAATAAATTAATTTATTAGCACCTTGCCATCCTTTGTCAGCGCCTTGTAAGTATTGACAGCGTCATCAATTGCACGCTCAACATCGTCAATACGTGATTGAGAAGAGCCACGAATGATAATTGTAGCGACTTGTCCCTTAAAACGTCTCTTGTTACAATATGAACCATTATCCAACTTTCTCTCCCTTCTTGTCAAATACGGTCACATATTCATCTCCGATTTCCTTCACGAATACCTCATCGCATTGTCCCAGCAAGTCGACCGGTGGAGCACACTATATCAAAAGATTACAAGTATTTAAAACACCAATTACAATTCGGGCTTGCGCTTGGGCTCCAAGTGTTTTGCTCAAACGTCTCATGTCGAATTTTGAAGTTAGTCGAACGCCCATAATGTTGTACTTGTTTAAAAAGTGCAGATAAAGATCGCCAAACTTTCCACCAGCGACAACCACATTTACACCAAGATCAGCAAGAGCCTAAGGGATTTAATGTAAACCAAAAATCAAATTTGTGCTCACCTTCACTTGAGCCTCAACTTCGGTCTCCTCACCCTTTGCATAGCCCATTAACTCGTCGGCATTTTCAATTAGCACAGTTCCCTGAAATAAGTGTTTTTATTAAACGAGTTATAACTCGTACCTTTGTTTCCGTTTGCGTTAGATCGAACGGACAAGTAAAAACGGCCACTCGACAGTTAGAAGCTTGTCTTATGTTTCCTTCGGCTCCTCGCTTGAAAACCATTCCGTTCATCACCTAAAATTAATATAACTTGTTTTTTCAAAGAATTTAGTAATATACCTGAGAGGCAGAAACACCGGAACCAAGAATCTTGCAAATGCGAATATTGTCAACGTTAAAATTGTAGCTGTTCGCCGGCACAGTGATTACTAAAAACAAAAAATTTAAAATTTAAAACCAATGACTCACCACACGCCTTTGCTACCAGATCAGCAATGATATCTTCATTGTCGTATTGCTTTGAAGTGATCGCTGACCGGATCAATTGCTTGACCTAAAAACAAAATAATCAAATGTAGGCAAGGATAATGTTTACTTTGTCCAAATCTTTGAAATCCTTTGCTTCATCGATGACTAGCTCGGGAAGAATCTCAAGAGCCTTTTCAGCGGCTTGCTCGTATCCCGCGGCAACTTCTTGTGGCGTTAATCCCATGTTGATCAACACATTAGCATGTTCAAGAAGAGCCGATGCCAAGATAACAACCGTATTCGTGTTGTCTCCAACTTGCTTTTCCTATACTCCCAGTTTAGAACACTTGGCGCTAATGTCTTCTCAAACCTGCATCTGCGAAGCCATGATGATGATTTTAGCTGCTGGATGCTGCACATCCAATTCACTAAAGACAAAAATACAAAAGTTAGTTAGGCATAAGTCACCAACCGCAAAATTGTGGCCGCATCATTTGTCACAAAGAGCTTCTCGATGTGATTGATCACCATCTTGTTCATACCTAAGAAAATGATTTTAACAAGGCAATTAAGATAAAACTCACCGTTTGGTCCATAAGCCGATCGCAATTGCGATGCCAACTCAACGCAAGCATCGATATTTCGGATCACAGCCTCATCAGTTCCTTTGAAATGCTAAAAAGTAAAGGTAGAACATGAATAAATCAAAAAATTATACCTGAGCGCCCTCTTTTAGGAAGCGAGCATATCCAGATTTGGGAACTCTCTGCGCCATCTTATTACCCGCCGGATTCTAAACAGAAAAGTATACAAATTGTTGTAAGCAAGCAATTTCAAACAGCAAACATGAAGATGCGGTCAATGAATGTCAGACATTAGAAACATACATTAGTTTTTCAAAAACCCGATGTTAATCAAAAACAAAACATTTTCTACCATCATTTTCGCCTCGAACTCTCTTTCTAATGAAAGACTCTTGAATGTTCTATCGAGTTTTAAAAATTCAACAAAACGGGAAAGTGAACAAGATTGTAATAGTGAAAGTCCCGACACGAAATGCCTGATTGGAAGCTACAAAATACCATTCACCATTTCATCTTGTGTTTGTCTAGGGTCGACTTGTGATTTGTGCCCGGCTCACATAAACCATAGATTTTTGTCGGTTTTGCTGACATTTCTAGGAAAAATGAGGGTCAAGTTTCATCACAAATCTTTCCTCATAACAGTTTTCCCACAAATGAGCTTTTGTCGTAAGGTGTCTCTATTTCATTGCCTTAGGCTGAATATCTTGATATCAGGTAAAAGTTATTGAGAATTGTCAAGATATTCACTTAACATATAAAATAGTATAAACTTTACAAATACGTTTTAGGACTTCTTAGAATTAAAGTGTTTTGTAAGTTGGTTTGACATTTTGTGCGAACCATTTTCCCTTTTTGTCACAACATTGTTTTTATCATTCAACTTTAGGTCGACGTTTCACTATGGCTTCGACCGAGGCTCAAGTTACGGCTCCAAGTTTGACAACACCAAAAAGAGGATCGAGGTAAATTAACAATTATCTTTTCCATTAAACTGTTTATTTCTTTTAGAGGGCTTTTTGGACTTGGTTATTACTCGTTAACAAAACTAGTGGCAGCGGAATCTAGTTTGCTTTCCGCCGTTGCTCATCGATTAATTTCACGCTTCATTCCGGCAAGGATTTGATTTTTGGTGTTTATAAAGCTCAGATTTAGATACGTTTCAAGCAGAGTGATGTCTACACGATTACATTGGAACCAGAAGAAAAATCAAGCGACAATGTAAGTTGACTTTTATGTTTGTAGAATTTCATGTTTGTTTTCTGACAAACTGGACCCGTGTGTTTCTCATGAAGAAGCCCCATATCGGCTAATCGAGAGTTGAAATCCTTGTCCGATAAGGACAATAACTTGTAAAGCTTCCGAGGGTTGCATTTTGCAATCGAGCGCGAGATACTGGTCTTCCAACCTGTTGACCCATGTTGATCTGGCCACTTCCAACTCTGTTTTTCCAGCGACTGATTCTCAAGGGGTTATTTGTTTTGAAATGGGCGAATCTATTTCACTTTTAAAAAATGGCACAAGAATTTTTCATTAAAGTGCATTTTCACAAAAATGCACATGAAATGTTAATTTTGACCAAAAAACATGATTTTTGAGAGTTTTAAAAACACGTGAAAAACAAGCTTAAAATGGAGTTTCCCAAATTCTAAGTGTGATATTCGTAATCAGCACAAAAAACTGGCCCAGAAAGTGTTTTCGAAAGAAAAAAAGGCCCCAACATGACTTTGCTCCGACTTTTTAAGGTACACAAAAATCTCTTTGTTTCAGGTGCCAATTGTTTTAATTCATGGATTTGCGGCTGGATCCGCAGTTTGGTGTGCACAACTAGAAGCGTTGGCAAAAAGGCGTACTGTTCATGCACTTGATCTCTTAGGTAGTGACTTGCCTTTTAATGTTAGTACTTTTTTAAATTTAGGTTTCGGAAGATCTTCACGGCCTGCATTTTCCCAAGACGAAACCCTCGCAGAACTTGAGATGGTTGAAGCGATTGAAGATTGGCGAAAAGAAATGGCTATAGAGAAGATGACTCTTGTGGCGCATTCTTTTGGTATTGAATCCTTGGTTACAATTTATACAAATCTCATTTAGGGGGTTACCTTGCTTCATCATACACCCTCGAACGTAAGTTTGCGAGGTTGTTTTTTACGCAAAGTGTACTTGTGCTAGGTCGTTATTTTAGATCCATCACGGGTAAAACATCTTATTCTGGCCGATCCATGGGGGTTTCCCGAAAAACCTCCACCAAATGATAAACAGGTAATTTATTTAGCTTTGAAACATTTGATATACATGTTTTAGATTCAACCATATCCTTGGATGCATTTCGTTGGAGGCGTTCTTTCATTCTTCAATCCGTTAGCCATTTTACGTGTTCTTGGACCGTATGGTTAGTTTTTTTGTTGTGATCTCTTTTTACTTTTACCTTGTCAGGACCTTCTTTGGTTAAAAAGCTACGACCCGACCTTAGCGTTCGTTACAAAGGAACTAATCCGGATGATATCTACAATTACATATATCACATAAATGTGAGTATTTTTGTGTCATTTTGAAATTGTCATTTCTTAGGCTCAGCCACCAACAGGAGAAACTGCTTTCAAATCGATGACTCATACTTTTGGTTTGTTGTTTTGTTCAGTACATGTTGCAACTTTTATTTTTAGGCTGGGCAAAGCGACCAATGATTAGAAGGTGGTTCCGAGAAGAAAATTTTTTTATAATCAAGTTTTTAGGTTTAATGGAATCAGCGAAAATGTTCCGGTCACGTTTATCTATGGATCCAAGAGCTGGATTGATCCGCAACCCGCCTTTGAGATTCAAGCTACACGAAATGGCTATGTTGACATTCAGGTATTTGGCGTTTAGCGATTGACAGATCGAATTAACTAAATTTTATGGTTTAGATCATTCGGGGGGCGGGCCATCAGCTTTATGCAGACGAACCAGAATCATTCAACGAGGTATTAAATTTTTCAAATTTACTTTAAATTTTATCTAGGTTGTTTTGTCTATAATTGACAAAGATGCGCACGAGAATAAAACTTCCGACGAAGAGTAGCTGTGACGTTAAATTGAATTACCCAAACAGTATTATTAATTCCTGCCTAGTTCTGTATAGTGGCTTTTGATACTTGTGGATAGTTGTTTATTCTTTTATGAATCTCGATGCCTTGAATTCTAGTCTTGCTGCATTGTATTTGTATAGTATTTTTGTTGCCAATTCACTTTATATCGTTTGCCCAACTTTTGTATACCCATATAACATGTTTTAAATAATAAAAAGTTTGACTTGAGGGCAGTATTTTTAAAAAATACGTTTTATAGCAAAATTAAATACCAGTTGAATTGCTTCGATTTTTAAACTGGATAAAGACATTCAGGATGAGCGGGGATTTGAAAAATCTGCCTCGTTTCAACGGAAGGATCCAAGAATTCGATGACGTAAGAATGCATGAATTGTTGCACAACCTAAAGGGTTTAGGATGTTGTCGTCTTTCCTGCGCGTGAAGGTTTTGAGCCAGTGACTCTGGGGGACTTGACGGCAACCGTGGCACAATATATGCTGGCTTCGATTCATGGAAAAAATGCAGTTAAAGTAAGCTTGGTTGTGCTTTGCCGTTAGGAAGTTTTGAACTATGAACATCATAAATCTAGGAAACGCAAGTTCGCCAGATGACACGATGTGACGACACCACGTGGAATTGTATTTTGAAAGACACAAATAAGCGCTTGAGGAATTCATGTGGTCTTGCGGTAATTTCTAGTTTGATATACAAAAATATTTTATGATTTAGATTGTCAAAGACCAAGGAAATCTCTACGTTTGCAATGTATTGCCCGCAGCTCCCGGCACATCATCAAAATGCGAATGGGTTTGCATTCAATGTTTTCCACCCTATAAGAGTTTTTTAGGAGGACGCCCGTCGGGGTTTACTGCACATAATTCTTGCTTTTATCTTGATGGAACAACACCCATGTGCAGGAAGCGACTTTGGAAAAACATCATCGGATTCATTATGGAAATTTCTAGTGGGCTAGACAAATCCAAACTAACACAATGTTATAATTTAGGACTCTCTTGGCTTTGACTCAGATCGTTCCGATGAGAACCTTGGCAATATTTCGCAACTTATTCAACAGTTCGTTAAAGAAGGTATTAAAGGTTTTTAGCTTAACAAAATACATATTGTTTAGGCTGGCTAGCATCTTCGAAAGATGTAAAATCAAGACAAGAACAATCAGGACCAGTTTTTTACGAATGGGGAGGCAAAGCACTTGGCACAATTAGTCCACAGGTTAAAATTTTGTTGTGATATTAAAAATATTAACTTTTAGATGATTTATGACATGTTTTTGGAGATTTCGAACGAAAATGCCGACGAGTGGAGGAGTCACACCGAAAAAATTGCGGACCTGCAATATCGGTAAAAAAGAGGTACAAAGCATGTACTTATTTATTTTTAGTTTCTATCAACAATTCCGGCAAGAAATTGGCAAGAAACCACCAGGTGGTATGGGGACAGAGTTGGGCACGACTGATGTTGGAGCTGAAAAAGTAGGAAATTTTTACCTGGGATAGTTTTAATAACTGTATTTAGTCACAAGCCAAAACACAGTCCCAGCAAGGACAATCACAAACGCAGTCTGAAAAATAGTTTTTTTTTTGTTCTTTATAACTATTTTTCTTGTTTTGTTGTTTATTATGAATTTTGTTCTGCATTTTTAAAAACTTCATTTGTCGTTGATATCGCTTTTTTTCGGGTCAATTTTCATTGTTTACGGGTGAAAATAAAACTTGCTTTTACGAGAAATCTGCAAACAAGAAGTTACGTTATCTTGCGATCTTCCGAAATCTCTGAAAAGTTGTCCAGTTTTTGTCTATGACAAGTTGTAGATGTTCCTAGCAGCAACGAATCGTTTATCACTACCGTGTTGCTCAAACAAGCTTTATTTGCTAGCAAGTTTGTAATTTAAGCGAGAGTTTGATTTTATGTCAGCACAGAACCGGCGACTGTTTCCAACTCCACTTCACAAAGAAGGAATGCGAGTCAACTACCACCAGCGATTTCGAGCGTCTTTGAGTATGCAGCCGATTGTAACATAACGCAAGCTATGCAGTGGGGAATGGAAGGTTTATCTTGTCGCTTATGAACTGAAAACACGAAGAATTATTTTAGGAATTCATGCTGCTGGCGTGCCATGGGCGGGCACGTTTATAGTTTCAGGTATAGCGCTGCGGCTACTCACTGCTCCGACACATGTATTGGCTGAAAAACTTTTTGCTAAAAGGATTCACGCACAGAATTTTTTCACTCAAGCGATATTAAAGGTGGGTCGAATGTATATGTATATGAATATAGTAATTCTTGTAGAAAGTTTCGGAGCACTACAAAATTGGTCTTTCTCCGACTGGAATCCTCAAAACGGAAGATCCTAAAGTTTTGGATCATACAGAAAAATTGGTAACATTAACGATGCATTTAAAGGGTGATATTTTTGTTTTCAGATAAAAGAAAACGTTCCTGGTTACCTTGTTGAACAACGGCTACAAGCTTCACGAATTCAGAACCTCAAAATATGTTCAGTACCAATATGGATCTTTTCGTCATTTGCTCTACGTAATATTATCAATGGTAAGCCTTTAAATCAGAATCGTTATTTTCCATGTTTTAGGTGATTTTGCGCCGGCCGTTCCAGGAGCACTTTGGATTCCCGATCTACTCCTACCAGATCCGTATTTTATTCTACCCGCCATTGTTGGGTCATTCGGGTTTCTGAATCTTTGGGTAAGATTTATTTTTCTTCGGTAACTGTAAATCTGCAGGCTCAACGTAAAATTTATCCTGCGATAGGGACAAGAAAGAATTGGCTAAAAACCTATGATGCTTCTTTGGCTTTTATGACTACTGCAGCTGTTTACATTATGGCACATCTTCCAGCCGTAAGTTTGCAAGCGTTTTAAAACTTGACTTTGCTTTTGCTTCTTGCTTTTTTCAAAACAATTATCTTTTTCAGGTTATTCCGTTGTATTGGCTTGTCGTTTCGATTACGGGATTCGCGCAAACCCAAATGCTTCGTCATCCAAGGATCAAATCAATTTTTGATATCAAAAGGCTGCCAACAGATTCAAAGGTAAGCTCGCTCAAATCTTCGCCTCAATCTCAAATTTCAGACACCAATCAGAGATCTCTTTTTGACAAGAAAAATGGCATAGGTATTTTTTATGTTAGGATAAAATATTTTGTGAAAATTTATCGTATGGTTTTTAACTTTGTGGAATAAATTTTGGGACTAAAGCAAATAAATGCGAAAAAAATTTTATTCAGTTAGTCAAATGACATGAAATTTAGTGTTTTTTTATGTATCGTTCGTTTGGTTATCCTTGAGGCCGAAAAGTAAAGGCATGACATTCTAAAATTTTATATTAGAAAATGTATTGGAACATTGACATAAACTTAAAAAAACACCTTAAAGTGGAAATAAAATTTTGTAGCCTTCAATCAAGCCTGATTCTGAAATTGTGGAAAAAACTATGGGAAGGTGAATCGACTTGGGCTTGAAGAAAATAATCGACCTCTCGGCTTCAAAAGGACCGAATGAATTGGCAAAGCATTTTTGGCTGCCACAATCGACCATTTCTGCGATTCTTGGCAAGTGCTCGACTATTTTGAATGTGATCAACGAAGGAAATCGAACAAAACGGGCACATTTGAGGGCAATTAAACATGCGGATCTCAAAGTTGCCTTCATTATGATACTCAAGCACATGGAGACGCTTTCAGAGATGAACTGAATCAAGTTTGGAAGCAACTGGCTGATTGTGGAGATTTAGATTGTAGATTCAGCTGCATCAATTAATGCACCTGAATTTGCTTTGCCGATGGAAATGTGCCCACGACCGGTTTACGAACTTTAGAGAAGCTGGCAACTGTTGCGACTCGATCAAATTCTTTATTATCAGAAGACGAGGACGAAAAAGTGACCGAAATCACGCTAGTTTCTCGCGAAGAACCATACCGTTGTTTTCAAGTGCTCCGAAATTACGCCAAACCGAAGGCGAACTCAAAAATTGTTAAAGCTTTTATGATTATGATTTTTTACGATCAGACTTTGTTCACTATTAAAGCAAACCTCGTTAACAGATTTTTTCAATCGGTTTTGATTGTTTCTTAACCGCTTCTTATTTACATACTCCTTTTGTTGATAAATACGTTGTAATAACTTGGTATAACGATTTCAAGCACCGGTCCCGACTCGTGATATCGAGTTGCTTTGCTCGAGCTTGCTAAAGTCTGCCATTTGTGCTTTGTGAAGAGTTTTACCGAGATTTGATAAGCAAAACTATTATTTATTAAACAGTGCTGAAAACTACAATTAATAGAAAAACAAGTAATTTCACAGATTTCCAGCTGTTTAAAAAGAATCAATTAAAAAAGGGGTGGTGCCAAAAGAAAAATAAAGTCACCGAAAACCTATTACCTAGAAGTTCAAAAATCAAAAGGATCCTGGAAAGAGTGAGTGGCGTCAGCAATTAAGTCACTTGTTTGGTCCATATCTATTTCATCAGAATTTAATTCGCTACAATCGGTTTGGTCAAATTCGCTGATCGTCGAGTAGAGGTATTCCGACCCAGCCATGTCTTGTGTTGTATGCTGGCTGAGACTTGATGCCAGAAGTGGCTTCGTCTAAATCGATAAATATTGGGAGAGTTGTGCACTAAAATATTTACATCTTGCAAAATGCTACCTTTAATTCTTTCTTTGTGCGAGCGATTCGCCAAAAGTCAGCCCTTAGGCAGATCGGCCATTCAGATATCGGAGGTAAAGAAACATTGGTACTGCGTGCGGAAACCTACAAAAAACTAAACGCAAACGGCAAGTAAACAACCACAGTTTCGTAAGTTTCGATGAGATGCAAGCAAATTTCCCGAACAGAGTCCAAACGTAGCATTGTAGTGGGATGAAGTTGTTTCACGACCAAATTCAGCAGCACTTCGGCACAATAATACTAAAACAACTTGGAATCCATTGTTAGAATAAAAAAATTACATACTTTAGTTTTTGTAGTTGGTATCAATACATGTGCTACTATAATGGCAGCATGAGCCGTTAGGTAGCTTTTCCATCGACGGCACTGATCATTGAGCAGGGAATGGTGTAGCAAATACTAAACTTAAATGTTTAACAGCAATTTTTTTAAAAGTACCATCGCGAATAAAATTTGTTCTTTTGAACTTTGAACGACGGTGTGCAGAAAATTCGCAAAGGTGTAAGGCGTTGCTACCTCAAGTCGCCATCTAAAATTGGACAAATCAAAACCCCTCCTTTTAATACCTTAGTGCCGCAAGCATGACTTTTTCAAAGCTGGCCAGCTCTTTCATTAACACTTTGGTAATTGCGTGAGCACCATCGCCACAAACGTTCGAAAAGTGTAATGGATTGTATTCTTCCATCTTTCTAAATAAAAGCATTCCTGAGTGCTGAGCAAGAAACGTACGAAGCAAGGACTAACGCTGCTGCTCCCATTTTAAAGATTGTTTCCTCTGTTCTAGGAATCATGGCTGACAAAGCAACGTCTAGAAAATAGGCTGCCAAGTGAAACGTCTCCTAAAATGTCATTAAAGCTTTAAAAAAATAGGTAACTAACTTGATTGTACTCTTTATCCTCAACAGCAACAAACATTTTCCTCAAGACTGCACGTCGAACTTGAGCCACGCCAGGCATCGAGCAATAAAGTTGTTGGAGAAAGTTTTCTTTGATGGCATTAGCTGATATTTCTCGTTGGCGCAATATTTCGTACGTCTAAAGTGTAAAAAAATACTATTTGGCAAAAGGAGCGTGTAACTGAGCCAAAACGTACAAGAATCGAGTCTTCTGGATTGCAAAGATGAGTCCCGTAATCGAACGTAAGTTCGACCATTAACCCGAGACGGCGTTGATGGGAAAATTCTGATGATTGAGAGTTGTATCCGATAGAATTGCTAAAGACCAAACTGTTTACTTTCAGTAAACAATGAACTAACCTTTTTGTTTCAGGTAAGGGCGAAAAGCTGCTAATCGTTGAGTGAAAGAAAGTTGTTGAAAAATCTATACCATAATTAAACCCTGGTTAGATAAAAAAGCAATACCTGCGGAGAAAACCTGACTGACTTTACAAGATCTCTTTGGCGGGCAGGGTGGTATACTTTGGACCGAATCCGTGATCGAAGTGTCTTGAAGCTTCCGTCTACGATCAACCATATCAGATGCATTGATCTGAAGGACACATTAAAACTTCGTGCGCAATGCTTCCAACCCTTTCATTTGAATATTTAGCCGGTGGTGGTGGCATGCCGACAAATGTAGCCGAATTAAAGGATTCCCAGTTTGAAACAAATGATATAGAATCTAAACATTGTGCTTACAGATTGTAACAAAAAAAATGCGAACTTGACAAATCGGGGAAGCTTCCCTTGCTAGGGGATGATTGCTCGCCATCTGATGATTCTTCGTCTTGGGATTTGTCGGCAAATGGAGAAGGAACCGAGCACTAAACTTCAGGAAATGCAAAAAAACTCTTGAAAAACTTACACTAATGCTTGGCGTTTCCCAAAAAGCATCAAAAGTAGTCAAATCCTTTGTAACCCCTCTAAACGTCATCATCGTTCCATACAGTGGCCACAGAATTGACCTTTTTCTGGAAAAAAACCAATTAAAATATAGGTTAAAAAACAAAAGAAGATTAGGTTGAGTTTGGAAAGCGCCCTAGGTTCACTTAAGGCAAAGAAAAATGAGAAAAATTCTTACTTTCTTCGAAAAGTACTCGCTTTGTGCAATTTATCATTTAGGTAATTAACTGAATAACACCCAATTAAATGTAAATTTGCATTTAGTGCAAATTTTCACGATCTTATTACGGTGATCTCTTCGTCATTTCTTATTTCTGGTGTGCAAAGGTTACTCCTTAATTCGACTGGAAGAAGTTAACGACAAGCCACCGATGCTCGAGTCACTCAAGGAGAAATTTGTGAGTTTTGATTTGTGTGATCGTTTGGTGAAAATATTTTGAACTTAGGTAGTAGTTTCTAGAACCAGCTACCTAGTTCCGCATTTCATTTCCTTTAAAACAACACTCGTATCTACTCTTTTCTTTTAGTGCTGCAAATCTCGAACGGAAACCTGCAATATCACAATTGGACATCTCCTGAAAAATGGCGGTAAGTACCTAATCTGATATCTCTAGTTATTGAGTGAGTTTTAGTTTCCAACCACCTCTACACCACGAAATACAGCCTCCTCAATTTCCTTCCAAAGTTTTTCTACGCACAGTTTACCGAACCTTCAAATCTTTTCTTTTTGATTCTTACACTTATTCAGGTAATTCTTCGTTTAACATACCCAGCACACTTTTGTTTTAGCTTTACCCGGGAATTTCACCGTTTGCATGGCACACAAGTGGATTTCCGTTGATTGTAATCATCTCAGTGAATGCGTTGATCGAAATTTATGAAGACATGGTAATTTTTGAATAATTTTACGATTTTATTTTATCTTTAGAAAAGACGTTTATCGGATCAACGAGTTAACAATACGAAGGTCGAGGCGCTTGATTTTAAGACGGGTGAATGGCAATTTTTAAAGTGGAAAGATGTAGGTGGTGTTTTTTAATCGGCAACTTACTTTTTTATAGTTGCGAGAGTCACAGCTTGTTCGCTTGGGGAGCGACGACAAGGTGCCGGCTGATTTGATCTTGTTAAGGTAAAACTACTCGTTTTGTATTTTAATAACGCCTTGGCTATAGCTCATCGGAACCTGGTGGAATCATTTACATGGAGACCTCGAATTTGGATGGAGAAGCAAGTTTAAAGATTCGTCAGGCCACACCATACACATTGGCCGTAGACTCGATCGAGAGAGTAAAGGTATGCTTGAGTTTTACTTCATTGCAACACCTATTCTAGATTCTTGTTGATTCGGAATCGGAAATACATTATGAGGCTCCGTCTCGTGCATTGGATCGATTCCAGGGTGTCCTCAAGATCAAGAAGGACATTCTCCCGATGACAAGGTGCTCTTTTCTTGTTTCCCTTTGCTAAGATTTTGTTTAGTCGCTGGAGTGACCGATCTTGTCTATCCATTAACGGCGATGAAAAGTGCGCACATGTTCCATTGAGTGGGTGGTATTTTAATTGATCTAATAAAGCTGACTTTAGGTGCCTCAAATTTGATCTTTCGCGGAGCTACAATTCAGAACACAGATTGGCTGCTAGGGGTTGTTGTGCACGCTGGTCGAAGCACAAAACTTGCGAAGAACTCAATCAAGAAAAGCTCGAAAACGTGAGTGTTAAAAAGTGAATTGAATGGGTAATTTTTTAATCTTTAGATCTATCATACATCGTTTGACAAGTTGGATGGTCGTGACGCAAATCGGATGGCTTTTGTTGATGTCTGCTCCCATTGCTTTCTGGTCTAAAACGGGTGATGAGTCTTGGTTCAAAACTTATTACGGTAAAGAAAAATATTATGTAGATCCTTATCTTAAATTCAGGTGATGTCGGGGGTGTTCAATCAACGATGTTTGGCTTGTTTCTTGCTGAGTTGATCTTGTTCTCGAATTTGGTGCCGATATCGCTTTATATCACAATTGAGGGATGTTTAATGTGGCAAGCTTACTATCTCGGACAAGTAAGCAACATTTTTTGGAAGCAAATTACATTGCTTTAGGACCTCTTCCTGTACGATGAGACAAGAGATCAAAGAGTTGAAGTAAGTTATTCTCAATTGTACGGTATGCCAGAGTGACAGCTAGAAGATACCAGTTTGCTATCATAGCTTTAACTTTAGGTGCGATCTTTCAAAATGATACCGAACTTGGGCAGGGTGAAGTATGTGTTGTCGGACAAGACGGGCACTCTCACGACGAATACTATGTGTTTCAAATTTTGCTCAATTGGAGGGTATTTTGATTACTTAAAATACCTAGTCAATTCTTTTAATTTTAGACAAAAGTATGGTAAACGATCTTCTAAAGGAAAAGAATTCAATACTGACAAGCTGCTTAAAGAGCTACGGTTGAATGCAAAAGTCTGGCTATCGTTTATTTTATTATGCTTACTTAAACAGTTTTAGGGAAACTCCAACTCCATTGATTTATTCCTCTTAGCTTGCGCTGTTTGTCATACGGTTGTTGTTGATAAGAAAAAGTTTGTTTCTTGTAGCGGAAATTACTTTTTTGTTGCAGAAACGACGCCTCAAAGGAACACGGAGAGACCTCATTATCCAATATTGTTAGCCTTCGAATGACAGTACCTGATTCACCCCAGCCAAAGAAACCACGGGAGTCGATATTCCATGCCTGCTCTCCAGGTTATTGTTGAATGGCGCTTATACCAAAGAGTATTTTTAGACGAGAAATGCTTGGTTAAATTTGCAAAACAGGCTCGTTACGCCTTCACTGCAAGAACTCCCGATTCGATCAGCGTCGAAGTGGTGCGTTCTGATTAGTTTCATCAAAGTCTATAGTAAAATTTTTGAATGGTGTTTGCCACGTTTTTCAACTACTTGCAATGATCGAATTTAATTCGAATCGAAAACGAATGACAGTAATCGTGAGAACCCCAGAAGGAAAGCTGTGCCTCTTTGTGAAAGGAGCTGTTCGTGTTTTTAGACTTTGGGAACTTAATAGGATTTTGTTTAGGATGTCAAAATAATGGAGATGCTAAGTCCGTCGAGTGATCCAAAAGTCAGAAGCACCACTCAAGCCCATCTGAAAGAGTTTGCAAACTTAGGTTTTATTGAATTTTATTGTACCTCGGTCAATTCTTTATCATTTTAGGCTATCGAACCCTTTGCTTTGCCTATCGTGATTTGGATGAAGAAGAATATCGGTGAATTTAAAATGGTGTTTCAAATCATGTTTTTTAGAAATTGGGCGCAAATCTGGAGTCGGGCAAACTGTGAACTGTATGATCGAGAAGAGGCAATTGAAAAAGCCGCCAAGATTGTTGAAAAGGTTTTACTTTTTAATTATCTTTTTTTCTAACGTACAATTCAGGAATTTATTTTGTTGGGAGCATCGGCCATCGAGGATAAATTGCAAGAAGTGAGCAAAAGATTTGTTTTAGTAATGTATGTAGAGATTTAAGCGAGTGCCACAAACGATCGCTCGAATGCTACAGGCGGACATTCGTGTTTGGGTATTGACGGGTGACAAACTTGAAACTGCGCTAAACATTGGTATATTAGACTTTGATAGTTTTTTCAATGACTCGTTTTCAGGCTATTCTTGTTCATTGATATCATCAAAAATGCCGACGATGATACTGGCAACAAACACTGAAGAAGAAACGGCTGCACAATTAGAAAAGTTGTTGTTCTATAATTGATCAGCTTATTTTCGTTTTTAAGATACGTAAATGCTTTGGGATCAAAACGACTGGATAGTCGTGACGTTGAGTTAGCCTTGATTGTGGATGCAATGGTTAGCGTTTTCTTGTTTTTTCATAGATTTCGAATGCTTTAGTGTTTGGACTGGATACTGAAGTCGCAAGTTATGCGTATGGACTTTCTTCGGCTAGCCTTGTGCTGCTCAGCTGTGATTTGCTGTAGATGCACTCCTCTTCAAAAGGTATCTTTTGTAGAAATAATTGGTTAAGATAAAAAATAGTTTAATCAACTAAATCATTATCTTTTTAGGCAGCAGTGACCCGTCTCGTTAAACACAATGTTGATGGACAAGGTGACTTTTCGAATGGACTGGAGTTATTGATGCTGAATATTTGTTGACTTGTAAAAAAATAATGACTATTTTTGTAGTTCTGGCAGTTGGCGACGGTGCAAACGATGTGGCAATGATACAGGAGGCGAACATTGGTATTGGAATAGCCGGTGTTGAAGGCGGACAAGCATCCATGGCTGCAGATTTTGCCATTACTCAAGTAGGTAGTTTTCCATTGTACCAAAACTATCAGTTTGGTTTAGTTCCGGCATTTGGACAGGCTATTGTTTGTTCACGGGACATGTTGCTTTCATCGAATCACCACGGTGGTCTTGTTTTCTCTGTACAAGAACCTGTTTGAAGTGTTGCTTCATGTAAGTCCTATATTATTTTATTCTGGTATACCAAATCGTATTATGAATGAATTTTTAGGTATTATACGCTTTTTACAATGGCCACTCGGCTAGTGGCATGTCGGATGAGGTTTTGATGGTCAGATACAACTTGCTTTATACGAGGTGATTATTGTTTTGTTAACATTTTGTACGTCTTAAGATTTAGTGTAACGGTGGCAATCCTCGGCATTCACGATACACCAGCGCCCTTGCACGTAATGTCAAAGTATCCGCGACTTTACACACATTTCCAAGACAACATGAACATTCGGGTATTTTTGCTATTGATTAATAAACTGTCTCATTTGCTTAGAATCATTTATCGTGGTCAGCAAATGCCTTATTGCACGCATTTCTTCTATTTCACACAACACTCTATTTTTGGAAATATGGAACAGGTATGCAAACTTCGTTAGTCTCTTCGCTCATGTGCATATTTGTAGGCGCGTTTCGAAACGGACGGGATGGTTGGGGGCAAATGGTCGGATCTTATATGTATTTGGTAAATAATAAAGCGATTTTACTGTTTATGTGCAGTCATTTAGTGTCTCGTGGTGATTGTCAATCTGAAAGCGATGATTGAAAGTCGATCAATTAATATTGTGAGCTTTTTCTTTTTGATAATCAATCTTCTGATATTTAGCTGACGGTTGCTGGATTTTTGGGCTCGATTTTGACGGCTTTGATTATGCTGGCCACGGATTCGGTTGTTGCTACTTTATGGTCATTCCCAATAGTAATACCGAGCCAAGCACATTATCTGGGTACGGAAATTTAACAGTACATTATGCTGTTATACTTTTTAAGGTTTACTCTGGGCTCTTCCAAGTGTACAAACGACTGCTTTTCTTCCACTCATTTGCGTCATTTGTCTGCTTCCAGATGTTGCTTGGAAAGCGTGGGGTTTTTTTATTGTTAATAATTCACTTATTAAATAAACGGAAAAATGCTTGACTTCTAACAAATAAATTTTAGTATAAGCCGAACTTTGGATCCATCACTCTTACAACATGTCGTGCAATCGATGAAGGTCAATGTTGGGTTACTTTGCTTGCTTTAGTTATGTGATATTTCCTCGTTAGGATAATGTGCTCGATATGGTCATCAAGCAACCACTCATCAAAATCGCAGATGTTGTTGGATTAAAGTCGCATTTGGAGAGTGGAAAATGTAAGTATCAAAACAATGTATTTTAAACACTCGGTGTTTGAGCAACTTCAAAAATTTATGCGCATTTTCATAGATGGCTTCATGTTTGCTCAAGACGACGGTCATGTAATGACTCAAGCAGATTTGCTACGGATGTATGGCGCTGCAGATTGTATTCCCGAGACTCAAGTAGGCGTTTTGACTATGCATTAGTAATTACATCTTTTGTTCAGACACCTGCTTCTCCAGTTGGAAAAACGACGTTTTTATCGGAAACGAGTTCACTCAAATCGTTATCATTGGGAGCAGACGGACCTTCAAACGAAAACCGAGAAGTAAGCTTTTATATTGTATTGATAACTTTATAAATCTTTAGTCTCGATTAACTACTAAAGATAGTGGAGCAAAATGTGTGGTCTTGGACGAGACTGGTTGGTGAGTTAGAACTACTGGAGAATTTAGCTTAATTTTATTTTTCTGTTTTAGTGTAAATCAAGCGATCTCCCATTGATTGATATCAACGCCTAACTTGTGAAGCTAACGTCGAAGTGATTTGATACTTTATGATTAGAATAAAGGTTTCTATAAAAATTACGTATTTATGCACTTCAAGTCTTTTCCAAAAAGTGAGTTCCAAATCTTTTCAAGTGAATGGTAAAGAATGGGGTGTTTCATTACGAGAGATGACCTATGTTGACCCATTGGCCCCATCTGTTCGGCAAACCAATTCTGTCTGTTCTCTCTATCTTCTCTACACTCTTCTCCACCGCCTTTTTTGTGCTGTCTCGGCTCTCTAAACAATTCTCGCTGGTACCAATGCTCACACGGTGGTACCATTTTGTGATGCTCTTTTCCCATTCCTTTTTTGAACCCTAAAGAATTTTTAATGAACATTGGGGAAATGTGCATGTGAAATAGTGTTTGAATGGCATTTTCGTATGAGTTAAATTTTTGACCTTTTTTTGCATTTGATAACCCCGTATTTGTTTTGCGTACTCTCATTGAAGATGGAAAAATTTAAAACTCGACGAAAATTCGAAAGCTCACAATTTTGTGATGAAAGAAAGCAGTAGGTCGCGAGGATTCTCCCTCTGTACACACACTGTGTCATCCTGTGCAAGGAGGAGAAGCTTGCACCGTTCAGCACTCACATCAGCTACAGTCTAGAACTTACTTCATAGCTTATCCTGATTGCCAAATCTTTCAAATAATACCAGCTTTGCCTCTGTCGGTAAATGAATGCAAAATAGAAATCACTGATTAGTTGAATATTTGAGCATTTTAGCCGTTTGCTAATTTTCTACCATAATCCCTTTTCTATTTTGCACTAATTTTGAGTGATTAGCAAATCTGAGAAAGATTTTTAGTTTCATTTTGTTGTTTGATCTTTCTTTTTGATCTATGCTAATCTACTTTTAAATGATTTAAATGCTATTGCAAAAATTAAATACAAACCAGCTCTTTAGACCGACTTTTATGATGAAAAGTCGAAAATTTTAAAATTTGAATGTGAAAAATTGTGCCTTTCAAATGAATTGATGTGGATTTGTGGAATATTTATGCAAATTAGGGAATGGTGGTGTGCCTTGCCTTTAGAAAAGGCATTTCTCTGATCTTCTCATAGGAAACGAGAAAGCAAATGGTGGTCTTCAACATCTGCCACAGAAAATCCACATTCAACCCGTTTAATTTTAGAGATACTGGGAAAAGTAATTAACGATTCAAATTTCATTCATTATACATTTCAATAAAATTTGTCTCTTTCAAATAATTCGTTTTCCTAACGTTTTCGTTTAAATACTGAAAAACTTGCTCACATAGTGCACATAGCCCACAAGCCACAAGCCCATGTGCATAGCCACAGCGCCCTAGTCCTGCCCATGTGCAGCCACATAGTGCAGCCCAATAGGCACAGCTCACTAGTGCACATAGCTCACATAGTGCACATAGCGCACATAGCTCCCTTTCTAGTGCACCGATTGTCTTCACATTTCTTCACGATTTCAAATTTCATTTCATTATTCATAAGAACAATGAAACAGTGCATCAGATGCGGTGCGTTTATAAACTTTTAAGCACAAAGTGCAGTAGGATACGCCAAATTCTAGTATTCAACTTAAAATCGCCTCTCATTTGACAAAGAGTCAATCAAAAGATATCTAGGATTTCATTTTACATTCAGTTTTTATTTCTTTAACAATTCTTTCCTTTCCTTTTCCCTTTTCTTCTTGATTGCGAACATCTGGTGACCTTTGATTGGCCCCTTCCGATTTTTCTCCTCTTTTTTCCTTTTCTTTATCCATCCATTAGACAATAACCCTTTTTTGGCAAATATCAAATCTCTTGATGTTTTTCTTTTCTTTTTGAACATTTTTTCATTTGATTTTTGTTAGTATTAAGATTATTATATACCTTTCTATTCATCGAGTTCCTCCAATTCTCTTTACTTTACTTGACATTTTTACACTGTGCCTGAAGCAGTGTTTGTGCGTCTTTGACGGATCTCCTTTCCAATAAATTCTAGTCTTTAACTTATTTGAATATCTCAAAATATCAAGATATAGCTTGATTGAATTTTGATTTTATCTCAAGTTGTTCAGATAACTGACAACCTTTTGTCAACGTTCTACAAGTAAAGACATTCCACGATAATAAAAATCTTGGTCCTTAAAGGCGAAGAAAAGAGCAACCTCGGTTTTGACATCTTCTTCGGAATTGAACCGTTTATTGGCCAAAAAGTTAGACAGAGACAAAAATAAATAATAATCAGATGGAGAAAGGTCTGGACTATAAGGTGGATGTGGTAAAGCCTTCCATCCAACACTCTGGATTTTTTGTCGAATCTGTAAAGAGACATGTGGTCGCGCGTTATCATGGAGCAACAGGACACCTTTCCTATTTACCAATGATGCGCGTCTCTCAGTGAGTTTTTGTTGGGCTGCATCAATCTCGGCGACATTCGAATTAATCGTTTGGCCACGTGGTAAATAGTCTATGTGCATAATACCACGTGCAGTGGAAGTTTAACTGGCTGTAGTGGCTGATTAAAAAGAGAATTATCTCACTAAACGCAGAAGTTTGCGCTTCGTTATTTTTGCTAAATAATTTTGATTTTCTGAATAGCCAGCTGATCTCCAGTTGTGCAAAATTGATTGAAAATCGTGCGTTAAGCTAAATTGATTGAAGATCGAAAGTTCCAAAGTGAAAGGATTTTATCAAATTCGCAATTTCAAGAATTGTAGATTTTGTTTGTTTGCACATTTTATCATTTAAAACTAACAGTACTTCTCCCTATCTTCAGCATGATTTTTTTTGACACTTTTTGCATCGAAAATATGCGCTCAATGGGGAGAAAGGGAAAAGAAATAATTGGAGTCGGGAAAAAGAAAGAGAGAAAAAAAAGTATGGGCAACACACAACAACTAGATTTCACCCCAACACGCAGGGAGAATGAATCGGGAATTTGAGAGGCTGAGAGTGAGATGGAGAGGCGTTTCACACTACTTGACTTGTACTAATTGAGTTTGTTTTTTTTTCACATTGTTAAATGCAAATTCATTTTTTTTACAGTAAATTCTTTGAAACACTTTGAAAAGGCTTTGTTTTTAGCTTTGTTTCTTTCTTTGTTCTTTGTTTACACTTTTCTTTACAAACAATTTCTCGACTTTCTGAATTAGCTTAAAACTCGAAATTTTAAGATCAATTAAACTTCATAAAGTCATGAAAAGTTATAGGTTGACTGTAACTGCAGAATCGAGATTTACTTTTCAATTTGAGGATATGAGGCTATAAAAAGTAATGAATGAATGGCAATCTTTCAACTAGCGTGTGTTCCTCGCGAGTAATGCGTTTTTTAAAACGCACATTTGGGAAAAAGTTACCGTACTTTTAGCAAAAATTATTGCAAAAAAATGGGAGTGGGACAAATGCGACCTTTTTTTTGCGCACCCGGACATTTGCGCACCTTTTTTTCCGCACCTTGCCCATTAGCGCACCTTTTTTCGCGTTTTAAAAAAGCTCTAAAAAGCTAATATTAACCAATTTCTATTCCAAAAGTTGTTTTTCTAGGTAATTTGAGGATGTTGAATTCAAATTTTGACATAACAGAGCGTGTGGAACCAATTTGAAAGACAAAGCGGCTAGATCAAATACAGAAAATTGTCGATTTTTCTCTTTGTATAACTCCGTCCATTTGTTTCCACAAGCTCTGATATGTCAAAATTTCGATTCTACGCCCTAAAATTACCTAGAAAAACAACTTTTGGAATAGAAATTGGTTAATATTAGCTTTTTAGAGCTTTTTTAAAACGCGAAAAAAAGTGCGCAAATGGGCAAAGTGCGGAAAAAAAAGGTGCGTAAATGTACGGGTCGGTCAAAAAAAGGTCGCATTTGTCCCACTCCCAAAAAATGAAGCAAAAATCACGAGCCCCGCATTATATATGACACTTTTTAAAGATACTCAGCCGTATAACTGATTTGGTGAGAAATCCTCTTCCAATGTCAAAAATGATTTTTTTTAGAAACCTGCGCAAAAAAATTGCTTTTAATTTTTTTTTTAATTTTTAATTTTAGAAAACGCATTACTCGACAATTACTCATGCAAATTTACTCGAGTAATTACTTACTCGCGAGGAACACATTCCACTTTCAACCCCCCGTTCACCCCACCAAAATCGCGTTATCCTCTGCATTTTCCACCAATAACGGCTAAAGGAAAAATTATTTTTTTTTTAGATTTCGCGTTCCCTTTTTCGGCCCTGTCCTTGTTTTTTCAACTTTTCACCCTTTTTTTCTCTTTTCACCAAGGTTGTCGATTTTCGGGTGATCCTTTCTCTCTCGGGAAAAAGAAAATGGAAGAACTAGTCCCTATTGGCAACACAAAGAAGAGGAAAAGATCGGGCATGGTTCTTCATATTCTTCTCATGCCATCGAGTACTTTTACTTGTGAAAATATTTCATTCGAATCTTTTCATTAAATAGGTTTTACATTCATTTTATCTCCATCAGCTATTTCCTTAAACTGATTTTGACTTCTGGTTATCTTCTAGTTGCTAAAGTTGCTGATTTTTATCTTTCATAGTTTTGATTCTGTGAAAAGATGATGAGAATGACTTTCAAAAGTGCCTAGATTATGGAAATATGGAAAAATAATGCTTACAAGTGTTAGGATTTAAAAAAATCCTGGCTCTGAAAGAGTTCTGCAAAGAGAAGACTTTCATTTTATCAAAATACAGAAAATTTTTACTTTTCAAAATATTTCTTATTGGGATTTTTATTGACAAGGATGCTTATGACTAATTGATTTTCTAAAAAGCATCCATTTTCAAAAACTATCGTAATTCCAATAGTTTCCATTTATCTATTTACCCTGGTCAAGATCCCAGCTCCAGTAAATATCCAGTATATCTAGTAGAAGATAATTAGGTATGAAAATCCATTTAAAATCAATGCACAGGAGTCGGCTCTTGAAAAAAGTAAAGACTTTGCAGCAAGAAAGGGAGCGTTCCACCTCTCCTCCTCGAAATACCCCCATTTATTGATATTTATTCGTGTACGTGTTCTCATTTTCTTTTCTCAACTCTCAATTTTTCAATCGCCATCTCTTGTTGTGATATCCCCCGTCCTTGCCCCTTTTTGTGCCGGCCGATCCAATGACATCCATCCCTTATTTCTTTCACTTATGGCATTGCCAGGTAAATCTCGATACGCGAACATTTTGTCAAGTAAATCGATTTTCGCTAAACTTTTTGAGATTTTGGTTGGTTTTGGATCGGCTTGGTTTTGGCTTTGGCTGGCTTGGCTTGGCTTTAGCTTGGCTTTGGCTGGCTTGGTTTTGGCTTTGGCTGGCTTGACTTAGCTTTGGCTGGCTTGGCTTAGCTTTAGCTTGGCTTTGGCTGGCTTGGTTTTGGCTGGCTTGGCTTAGCTTTAGCTTGGCTTTGGCTGGCTTTGGTTTGGTTTTGGCTTGGCTTTGGCTTTAGCTTCCTTTTTGAAACACCCCTGGTATCCGAAAATTCACCTTTTCTAGTACAACTCTTTCAAAAACATCAGAATATCTGTAGTTTTATCGGGACTTGGCAACTCTGACCTCTGAAAGTTTTCCCTTTTCACAAATCAGAATAGAGTGCTCTCCAAGTGATAAAGCTTTGGAAAAGTGTTTCCACGTGTTTTCAAAGTACTCTCTCAATTTCTTTTTTCTCCTTCACCCATTATCTCCTTTTTTTCGATATTTGAAATCAACACCCTGTCCCCTTTCCCCCTTTTCTCACCTTTGCACTCATCCCCTTTTTTGACTCGCATTTTACGACCTATCGAAAAACATTAGGGAACAAAGTACCTTATTTTTGAGGCTTGATTTTAACCCTACTCTTGAAGTTTTAAATTCGAATTTACATCTAGCACTAAAGGTAGCTTTTCTTTGCTATTAGGTTGGTAAGAAAGTTCTCGGAAAAACTGGAATTTGTCTGGAATTTCTTAAAAAACGAATCCACGAATTCAAGAGAACATTTTCTTCTATTATTTACAAGTCGACTCCAAGAAATTACTCGTAAAAAAAATGAGTACAGCTTTCCCTTTAGAGATTTTTGAAAAATGATTATTTTCCAGCTTAAATTCAACTTTTCTTTTGTGAATCAAATGAAAAGCAGAGAGATCATTACGATAGTTTTCGAAAGTGGCCGGGTTTTTAGGAAATGCTTCAACAGAATACTCTACTTTTCTAGAGCTATAGACTGAAAAAAACTTATGATTAAACTATTCAAATTCATGTCTAAAACAATTTTTAAAAACCTCTTGAAAAAAGAAAAATTGTCGTGTCATTTTTGCATGATATATCCACCCTGGGATTATCTCAAAATCATCTCCATAATGCGGATTCATTTCAGAGGAAATCATCGGGATTTTGAGGAGAAATTGATGAAAAATAGTTCTATAGCTAAGGCTTTGTACTTAGTTGTGACCGTGAGGGGTTCTTCATTCCTTGGAGAAGACACTAATAGATGGTGGAACAGCAAAATCAATACGACAAAGGGAGACGGGTAGACAAAGGCCAGCAAAAGGCCATCGAACCCTTGGCGCTCTTATGAAATTGATTTCAAGGATTCTAGTGTCAGATTCACATCTCCTATAAATTTACCAGAGATTTTTACACTTTATCCAGGCTCGTCCTGTCCTATTTTAGCTTTGCTGCAAGCATGACCCGACTAAAAAGCCAGACTCTAGATCAGGATTCTGCAATGGCTTTGCCTAGCCTCGATCAGCTGGAAGTCAATCCTAAATCAGATCTGAATTCTAGAATTCTCGATTTAGCTAGCCTGTCGATAAGGGATACTGGCTCCTCTTGCTCCAGACGCTGGCCACCGGTTAGCCTCGTTTGCAGCCTCTAGACCAATCGACCAATCGACCAATTGTGTATCTTATTGTCAAACCTCTAATCCATTTGTTGTTTCCAACTTTCCCTAACTTCATCACATCTCATTTCATTTCATTTCCCCTCTTCGATCTGCGCTTTCCCCAACTCGAAATCCTCGTGATGTTTGCCAGCTGATCTCCCCCAAAAATACCCGAAAGAGTCTTTCACCGCATTCGAAATTTATCAAAAAAAATTCTCATGGTTCATGTGTCAGCCAAAAAAATTTTTCCATCTCCCTGATAACCCGGGGGAAGTGTTTTTCTGCCAAAGGATAGAGTCCATTTTTGAGCCAGTGATTTCTGGACTAGATTCTCTAATTTTTCTTGTACCATAAAATTTTGATTTTTGAAATATCAAAGCCTAAATCTTAAGAAAATGATGATCTGATTTGTCTCATAATTTCCTTAGAATCCTTATGTCCAAAGTGTTTTTTTGAATTTTGAATATTTCAATTATTGAACCTTTTGAAATTTTCAATCATTTTCGAGATTTTTACCGTTTCTTTTGTCTTTTTTATTTTACTTTTCGCAAAACCGGTACTTTTTGGGGCTTTGGCGGAGGGTTAAAGTCTCCGATTACCAAAAAAAAAAGAGAAAATATTTGGGAAATGTTTTTTTTTGATTGAATTTTTTCGATCACTCATTGTGCTTTTCCATTGTTCATTGTTTTCCAATTTTTCGAGATTCAGAAAGTTTTCAGTTCTCCGTTTTGATGGACAATTTGATGGACGAACCCGGGATATCAGGGCTTCCGCACGCCGAAATCCAGCAAAATTATCGAATTTTGACGGCTCAGGTAAGAAAATAGGGTATAAATAAAGTTAAAGCATTTTAAAAGAGAAAAAAAGGTTACCGTAATGTAAAATCGCAATTGAAGGAAACAATTCATAACTTTTAATCTAGTTTTAAAGAGAACAAAAGGGAGAAATGCGATCTTAAAGAGAACAAATAGAGAAAGAAATGCGATCTGACTTGAGAGCTTTGTCTTCTGATTCTCCAATCAACCCCCATGTGATATCATTTGAAATCCTGAAGTGTTCTCTTGAAAACTATAGAAATTTTGACAATAATATTATCGCTAAAGAAAGTTATGAGTCTTCAAAGCTATGGTTACTCATTCAAAAGCCGAACAAGAATCGAAATGTGTTTGTAACTGAATTCTCAGGGTGACGTCCCCCTACTCCCACCAAGCACCGAAACTCGAGTCCCACAATTTTTACTTGACGAAGACTGGCATTGGGTTCGGGAAGCGGTAAGTGAACTTTGTAGTTTAGCAATGTAAGACTATCGAGCAATCGAATTTTCTAGACAAATGGTGACGTGGTTGCTTGGGAGAAGGAGGTGGTCTTCCACCCGGCGTACGCCTATGGAACAGCCGGCGTAAGAGGCAGCAAAAAGTTGACTAGGTAAGTGAATAGGATCGAAATTTACACATTCTTAATATCTCTCTTAATATTTCAGGGGTTGTGTAGCCTATTGGGAGATCATTGTTGCTGGGAAATTGTATGGAACTTCGGTGATGTTTGGGATTGGGACGAAGAGTGTCAAGGTGAGTAAGGGTGATATCAGAAAGGTGAGAAGAGGCTCAATGAACGAAATCGTCGCTTAGACGTCGCTTAGATTGTTAAAGTCTTTATCTCTATATGATTTTCATTTGCAGACCCGTCTCGAGTGGATGTTCGCCGATTTGTTGGGCGGTGATCGAGAATCGTACGGGTTAAATCATCAGGCAATCGCGCAACACAATGGACTCATGGTCAGAGCGGCTAGGCAACCAATGGTTTGTATTTTGAAGAAATTGAATTCCTAAAAAGATTTAGTTTTGTTTAAGGCCTAATGTAGATGTAGAAAACGAGTCATTTAGTAAACAGCTCTTGTTTTCGATCATATTTTAAGCTTTAGAAAACGAGAGCTGTTTGCTAAGGACTGACGAGTGCTGGGATTGACTCGTTTTCTACATCATATGTACAGTCTAGGGATCATGAAGATTGCGCCGAATCGAATTGCCATTCACCAGGGCCTTCGATTCGTGCGACTGTTGTTAGTATTCGTACGTCGCAATACTAACAACGACGTACCGTCTTTTGTATGGGAGTATAGTGTTGGTGCTCTCACTTTTTGCGACCATTTTTCTTCTACTAAACAATAGTTTTTCTAAAAGTTTTTTATACTATCGTGTAGCCCAATTGAAGGGCTACATTTTGATACCAGAATCGCGCCAATCGAAGTACCTGGTGAATGGCAATTCCATTCGGCGCAATCTTCATGATCTCTAGACTGTACATAAGATGTGGAAAACGAGTCAATCCCAGCACTCGTCAGTTTTCATCGTTCCACAGTCTACCATAGTCGATACAAGTGTACTTAAGCTGATCTTATTCTATTAATCGTCTAACCTTCAGCCTGAAGACAACTGTATCGTTGGAATGTTATTCAATGGAACTGACGGAACATTGTCCTACTTCGTGAACGGGCAATTCCTCTGTACACCATTCTCAAATATCGACACAACGAAAGAATACTATCCGATGATCTCCAGGTAAATTAAAGAAAGAAATAATCAAAAATAAATCAGAATTCTCCACCTTTAAGCAGGAGAATCGCTACAGTGAGAAAGCACTTTAATAAATCGTACTGTCCCATTCATCCATCGTACTGTACCATTCTCCGTCTACAGTAACCACAATACAGTATTGCATTTGATCGCATTCTACAGTCAAAAAAGTACTGTACAAAGCTGTCGAACTATTCACAGTACAATAATTCGACTATACTGTAATAGCTGGATTTTAGCACGGCTCAACAATCTCGTTTCATCGTCCAATCGCAGAAATCCCTCTATCCGATCGATTCCCTTGAAGTAATGGCCGTAAAAAGGGTGAGCGATTGGAGAAATTTTGATCGAATCTAAAAGATAATATTCTAGATATATTCTATATCTTTCTCTATATCCTTCTCTATATCCTTCTCTATATCCTTCTCTATATCTTTCTATATATCTTTCTCTATATCTTTCTATATATCTAAATGATTCAGGTTGGCGGTTTGTTGATCGATGAATCGGCCGATTCATTGCCTATCCCGTTCTTTCAACGGAAAGCCGTTGAAACCCAGCGACAACGGGGAAATCGCAGGTGAGCGGATGAATCGAAACTTAACTTTATCTGTACTTTGTACTTTCGAGTACTTTGTACTCGAAACGTACCCTTTACTGGTGCACAAAATGAAGCAAGTACAATAGGTTTTGAGCCTATTTGAGGCTGTATCGTGTACTGTATCTTGTAAAGTTCTAGTCCTGTGCTCCTGCCAAGATCAAAAATCATTCTAATTCTTGGATATTGTAAGAACTGCCACTTTTACAGCACTTTTGAGTAACCATTAGAGAAATGAGTGAAGAAATCTTGACTTCTCTCTTGTTTCTCCTTGACTATAGCATATATCAAGATTATTGTTTCGAATTCTTCTAATCTGGCATGCACTAGAAATCTTAAAGTTAAAAGTTTTCAAAATTATGCAAATTTAAACGTCAAGTTTTTTCCATTAGAAGAAATTTCACGAAATTTCACGAAATTCATTTCCAGATCAACGAATGACACCAGTCATCCCTATTGGACAGCTCACGGCCTTTTACTACCCGATCACATTCAGAAAATTCTAATAGAAATCGAGAAACAACGTGTCTACGATCCGTCAATCCCGACACTACGAGTGCATACATGATGAACATTTTAGATTAAGAGAATTCGTTATTTTAAAAAATGAAACATCTAACCTGCGTGCCAGATAGAGGAATGCTGGGAACAGAACTAACGAGGGTCGAGCCTATGAAGATATATTTGCTCGAATTGGTTTCTCCCTCGTTTCTCCTCGACTCTAGCATATATCAAGGTTATTTTTTCGGATTCCTCCAATCTGGCACGCACTAGGAATCTTAAAGTTAAAAGTTTTCAAAATTATGCAAATTCAAACGTCAAAGTTCACCCTCTTTCATCTTTTTCAACATTTGCTCACTATTTATTCCCAAACCGTATCCAATTCTCAAATTTCCCCATTTCCTGTACATTCCATTGCTTAATCTGTCTTTCTTTTATCTATTTCATTTGTTGTTTTAGGGATATTTATCCATTTTTTGTGTCATTCTCCGCGAATTCTTCACTCAGTCAACTCGTGCTATAGCCAAAATTTACTCCAAAGTCTGCATTTTTTTCGTTTTCTTTCCTTTTTTTTGTTTAGCTAAATGAATTCTAGTCGAATTTCTTTTGAATAAACGTTTTTTTTTATATAGAAATCTTGAGAAAGATTTTCTTGAGTTAAATCTTGAGTTAAATACAAGTTACCGTATTTTCTCTAATAGTAGTCCACCCAAAGCTTCGCCTAAATTCCTCGAAATCTCGAAAAGCGCTTATCAGAACCTATCGATGTGGGGTCGGAAAATGTAGCTCACGATGAGATCTTGTGGGGGATTAGAGTGTTGAGCTTCTGGGAAAACTTGAAAACCGTAAAATAGTCATCAACTCGGCTCGGCTCGGCACTACTATTAGAGAGCATACGCTAGTTTAGTTTATCTTTTGAATTTTCATCAAATTATCATTAAAATAACTAACAACTACGCGAATGTACGCCCAAATGTGTACCGTCGAATCGTCGAAGATGTTAAAACTACATCAAACGAAAAAAATCAATAAATTTTCAAATAAATTGATATTCATGGATAAAAAAGCATGAAATCACCACAATAACTTCTTCACTTCAATCGTCTATTCTTCAACTTTCCCACTTGCAAAGACGTCAAAATTTCCCCCATATAAACAAAAGGAAACATTTATTTTTAAATAATAAAAAAAAAGAATCATTTCTTCGAATATCCACAAATATGAGTGTTGATTCCGTTTTGGAAATTCTGCAAAGCTTGCGAGTTTCCCCCAAAACCGTTCATGATGATATCCTGGAAATGGAAGAGGTTTTTAAGATTCAACAGCTACTCAAAAGGCAATTTAATCGAAGACTGGCATAGCTGCTGGCTTTACTTCTTTAAAAAGCCAGAGAAAGAATAAGCTAATCTCGGTTTCACCAAAAAAAATTTCTTCTTTAGCCTTTTCATTTCCATTTCACCAATTTAGCCTTTAGGAAAGTTCAATTTTTAGCTTCAAACTTATAGTTTTACCCTATCACTTTTGTTAGAAAGTTTTTTTTTCAAAGTATTTTGAATCTAAATATGTTTAGGGTTTACTAAAAAAGCATGCAGATATAGAAATGTGAATGGGAAAAGAAATAAAAGTAAAATGGTAAAAGAATGTGACATTTAGATTAGGACAATGACAAGATCATGCTCAGAACCACGATTAGAACAATAATCTTGATCTGAACCAAGTCCTGATCTGGCCTAATATGCCATAGAATTTAGTCCGGCCATGGTCCTGGCCTGACCTAGCTTAACCCGTTCCCGATTTTGCCTACCTTCAATTTATTTCCCATATTCATGGGAATTCATGGGAATTCAGTCCGACCATGGTCCTGGCCTGACCTAGCTTTGGCTTAACCCGTCCCCGGTTTTGCCTCCTTCAATTTATTTCCCATATTCATGGGATTCATGGGAACAGTCCGACCATGGTCCTGGCCTGACCTAGCTTTGGCTTAACCCGTCCCCGGTTTTGCCTACCTTCAATTTATTTCCCATATTCATGGGAATTCATGGGAATTCAGTTCGACCATGGTCCTGGCCTGACCTAGCTTTGGCTTAACCCGTTCCCAGTTTTGCCTACCTTCAATTTATTTCCCACATGGGAATTCAGTCCGACCATGGTCCTGGCCTCAGCTTTGGCTTAACCCGTCCCCGGTTTTGCCTACCTTCAATTTATTTCCCATATTCACCGCTTGTTGATTCGGATTCCATTGATAGCCATCAGGACAATCTTGAAATTGTTAGAAATTGATCAAACAAGTTATATACCAGTGTTTGGTCCTTGTGTGGGTGGCACAGTGGGCGGTATTTGATCAGGTCCATACGGGAAATTACACATTTGACCAGCGCAGACGCATCTCTCCTGTTGTCCCGACTGTTTCAAGCATTGCACCTGTAACTTATTGATATGAGTTGGTTACAGCCAGACCTACAGTAGGTTACAGTAAGACTTGTACAATAATGGTACAAGACAGCTGCCTACAAAATCACCTCCGAGCTTCCGTCCCACGACGTGGCGCACAACGAGTATGGGTATTCGCCTTTGACTGAAGATCTTTAGTGAAATCTCTTTTCTCTAAACTAACCCGTCATACAGTACCCTCCTTGGCATAAATGATTTCGATCACACGGCAACACCATCACACTTCCATTGATTTGTATCTCTCCACATTCAAAGCAAGGCACAGCGTTGTCTGTTGGTAAAACAGGAGAGATGGTTATCCTAAAAATATTTTAAAAAACAATTTTTATCACTAACCCGGGTGCACTCGTTGCCCAAAATGTTTTCAGAAATGGCAGCGTTGTCTGGAGTTTATTGCAGAAATTCCCAACACACTCGCATTGCGTCTCCGGGGAGGCATAAGTGCAAGACTGGAAGCAAGATTGTTTCAGATCGTTTTATCCGGGTCAAGCCAGGTTTAAACTAGTTTTTGGTCTTGTCTTGACGAAATCTATTGCTTGACAAACTGTAGGTAACTGACTTTCCTAACCAGCCCAGATCTGCCCTGATTTTACTTAGCTTTGTGCACAAAGCCCCACCCTCCATACTTCCCTTTACTAGTAACAAGAAAAATGATGAATTTCGTGCATCAGAAGGTGCGCTTTTGGATCACAAAGAACGGCCAGATGGTTTAGAATTGCGAAGTATCTATCTTTCTCACCAAATTTGCCGACGTTGCCTCTCCAATTGTCGGATTGCAACCAGCTTCCCAGGTTCCATTGTCATTCACATCTAAACAACTCAAAGCCTGGTATCTTAAAGTAAGATTTTAATAAGACAACAAACTCAAATCAGATCAGCGCCGTCTTTCTGTTTAGCTGCTATCGATTGAATTTCGGCGCCAAATTTTTGGGAACAGTTTTCCCCTAATTTTGCCTTATTTTGCCTTATTTTTCTGCAAATCTGATTGTCAGTTTTGCAGAAAAATAGGGAAAAATTCTGTGAAAGAACAATGCTATGATCTACCTTGTCTTCCAACTTTCCTAGGACTATGTGGCTTGGATAACTTAAAAACCCCAGAGCCACAATATGCCTTCGCAAATCATACGCACTGAAGAAACAAGAAGGTCCAACGCAAAGATCGCTGAGCGAACAAAAATGGCCGGCCGTCGACGATTGACCATTACAAACATAACAGACGACAGTGGAGGTGATGGATGGGAGAATTGAAAGGAAAAGGAAAAGTCGAATCATTGAGATGAGTGATCGAGTTGAGCGGAGGGGCAATTCATGCCCCGCCATCCCCAAAGCGGGAGAGGAGCTTTCTGCAAATGAAAATGACTAAGTGATCCAATATAGAGGCAAAAGGTGTCTTCACTTGGAAAAGAAAGTTTGGAGTTCATTAGATAAAGTTCCAACATTGATAAAGTGCTCATCGTTAATACTGTATTAATAAGTATTATCTGGATTTCAGTTATGTTCAAGGATGGCTTAACTTTAGAACTTGTTATTCAGATCAAGTTAGAACCAGGATAAAAGGAAAATTCACGAACTTTGACCCGAGATAGGTTTTGGAATTAGGTAAATGATTAGACATGTAAGCAAACAAGTCAAAGTCAAAAGTTTATCTCGAGTGAATCAATCGATAGAATTCAATTGTGATCGTGTTGAGTGAAGAGAATCGGTGAACAAGGGACAATCCCCATTTCGATCATGTTCTCCCAAAAAAAAAATTGGTCCCTAATTGGAGCGATTCTCTCGTTCCGCTTTCCCCCATATCAACCTGTCAGCTTTTTTTTGAACTGAATCGAGGGAATAAACATTGAGTTGATGACTTTTCCAAGCTTTATCTTGAAAATAGTTCTGGAATTGGTCTAGAATAGACAAAGACGATGATAATGCGTTGGCTCCACCATAATGTATAAATTATTCGCAAAATAACCTTGCGTCCTCTTGGCGCCTAAAGCGTCAACTAAAAATAAATGATCGAAATAACCAATGATTCTGGAATCTGAGACTCGTCCGGTCTTTGCTGAAGAGACAAAGCACCATGTCCACGTCGCTAGATGGACAGAGCAGTTGCCCGTAAGACGAAGATAGCTGGCTCCATCTACGTAGACTCTGCAGCTCTCCGAATTTTCTCCTCAAATCGGAATTATTTCACCATAAGGGCAGAAAAGACTAAGTCAAAAACTCTCTGAAGCGAGATGGTTGGGATGGTGCTGGCATGCAAGTCTTAGCGAAAAACCATCTGACAACAGATCAACCTATAGCCTGATGGGCGACGCTCCGTAGCTGACCCCCTTCTTTCCGCCATGGACCTAGCAAGTAGGCTACATCGTACGCGATCGGCTGGGCACAACCTCCCGTGGTGCCCTCACCAACGCCACTCCAAGTTCTCGCTATGAACTGGACAGATGGCCCAGATCCAAGGTAAAAGAGAGTCCCTGCCTAAAAAGGTGGTTCACCACTCCTCAATGGGCTGACCGAGTAAGGCAGACACCAGCCTAAGGTTAGTTATTTTTGAGACCTCAGTTGCTTTAGCGGATTGGAAAGAATCGGACCGATTGCAAGTGTGGTCTCGGAGCCCTATTCCGCTGTTCGCGAATTTACAACGGTTTAACCCGTATCTCAGAAAATCACCGTTTTCTTTATAGTGCGATTATAGTAAACAAGCAAGAAAACAATAAATTTATTAACAACAACGATCAAACCATGGCTCAACGTACTTTTTCATCAAAGGAGCGACGGTTGACACGATGGCCTAAAAAAACCTTACTACCTCGCCAATGAACTTTTATTTGAGATGTGGATTAATTAGATGCTTGGATATTCAAACAAGGTATTGTATGAATGAATTGTATGAAGACTATGTAGATTTAATCTTTCGAAAATCTGAGGTTTTAGGGGAGTTTTCTCGGAGAGATTTATATGAAAAATAGAAGGAAGAAACCTCAAATCACGACATATCCCTGAGCGCGAAGTTCAGCGATAAGCGGTCCAGCACCGCTCGGACCACCGTTTGCAAATTCCATATAGAGGTCGACCTCAAATAGGTCCGGCCATTGATGTCGTCTGTGATTTCCCTGAAAACTATCCAAATCGGCTGATATATGATTCCAATAAATCGTTGAAAGTAAAATGGATCTAACTAAATCCGAAAAAGAATTAGATACCTGCAGCATGACGCCCGGAATGATCAGGTTCGTGACCTTGTCGTCCGGAATCCGTGGCAATTGGTACCTTTTAGCGCGGATTTCAAGCCGATGAGCAGGTGGATGAGCGAAACGGAACGTATCTCCCGCAACCATCAACTCAAAAAACTGCGGAGTCACGTTCCGGTACGTATAATCGTCGAACAGGCTCAATTGCGGCAGCATCGGAAGATCTACGTGCCTAAAATCAAGGATTTTCAATGAAATGATAGCTGTTTCTATCACTCATGAATGATATGGCTAAAATTGAGGCAGTTTTGGTAAAGGATAGTAGAAAGATATAAGATCAGCAAAGAAATTCACGAATAAATTCAAACTACACAGAAGAAATACGAACTTTTGTTCAATGAAAATGGGAAATAAAACTAACATGCTTGGAGCCATTTCAGATTCATCACGTTCGAAATCATCTTCCCATGGGTCGTCTTCTTTTGCCGGCAGAGAAGCATTGCAAATTAGTGGAATCGACTGAAAAAGAACTCATTAATTAATCTTTGTCAACCACTATAGCTGCCTAGACATCCAGCTCAGTGGGAGGATGTGTGCGAAAGTAAGGATCAATCCCAATAAATGTTGAAACAGGTTATATCAATCAAATGTAACAACTTCCTTTCAACAAAACAAAACAAACCTGTTGATAGCCTCCAATATTTCTAAGTTTCACCAAAAAATCAGCGAATTGCCCCATGTCGACAAACTCGGCACACAAATCGATCACGTGAAGTTCATCGCATTGACCATCATGTTCGTGCTAAAGGTCGAGAAAGAAGTCAGATTCAGAAAAACAAAACAACCTCCAGGACGACTTCTGGCAAAGTGATCTGTATCTTTCCAAGTGCCCTCACTGAAAATTTGCGCAGGCTTGCATTCTCTGGAAAAGCGAAACGAAAATTTTTCGTTTGATAAACTATTTCCATGAAAGTTGGCTCAAGTTTCTGGACGTCGAAATCCGTGAAGAAGCAGAGTTGAGAACGCATCTTGACAGCACTAAAAAGAAATGTTAAAATATCAAAATCGTGAATCAGTTGAAATGTTGGCCTGAAGCATCAACGATTCAAATTCGGGCTTATGATGTAAAATACAGAAGAACCTTATGCATCAGATCTATATAATAGAGGATGATGTTCACTTCGAGGATAAGTCTGAATCAACGAAAGCAATCAAAAATCCAGGCAAAAGAACGTATTAGTAAGGCTAAGAGTTGAAGGCAAAATTGATGATTTGAAAACGCTTCGGGATGAACTTCGAGCGAACTGGGAAAAACAAAATGCGTTCTTTGAATCGTGTCATCGTTTACGACTTTGGGAACGAGACGCTGCAGAAGTTCAAAGTTTGGTGACAAAGTTACAGGTACATTAGGCATATTCTGGGTTGAGTAATCGCTGATTTTAGGATTTGTTGACGCGTCTCTTTCCAGTAAACAACAGCTCCCTGCACAATGCCAAAAAAACAAGGCGCTGAATTGGGACGTTTTGTCGGTGCCAATGAACAACTTATTGCTGTGCTGACGAAGAAAGTGAGACTTGTTACGCAAGGTATATTAGTAAACTCAACGAATTCTAACAAGCAATTGCGAACATACAACTTTAGGTTTACCGGACATGAAAGAAGCTATCGAAAAACAAATTGCCTCTATCAACGCGGATTTCAAAAATCTTCAGGATCTAATGAGCAACTTAAGGAAATTAAAACGACCGAGGACGTTCAACAATGCGAAAAGTACACATTCAAATAAAACATTGCCTTTGTTGAGTTTAGAGAACTGGAGACAATCAATACTTGGATGAACAATAGCTTTGCGTCGCGTCAAAAGTCTATCCAAATTCACAAAAAGAATATTTGGACTGAAGGCCTGAAGCACGACGCTTTCAAGAAAGAGCTAACCGTCAGTAGTTTGATCATGTTCACAAATTACTTCTTGGATTTTAGGCTTACGGCTCTCGGCTCGTTGAAATTAAAAAGCAAGTTGAAGAGCTATGGGACAATGGATACACAAATGCGCATAAGTCATTCGGAAAAGCACAAGAAAGATGGAATCAATTGAACATCGAAAGCGAGGAGCGATCCGAATTTCTGGAAGCAGTCGGGATGGCGGTTCAAGTGGAACGTGAGATCGAGCAATTCAACGAGTATTTTTATATGAACGATTTTCTTATTGAATGCATTAGATGGCTGACACAAGCTGAAGGACAATTACGATCGGTCGATCAGGCGGCGGCGAATGGAGAAACATCAACAATCAATACCAGATTGAAAGCGCTGAAGCTTTTGGAAAACACCACAATAATACAACAGGTAAAGCAACCCACCTAAATTGACTTTTGAACTTTAGGAAACGATCGACGATATTGGAGGGAAGGCCAAGGGAATTGAAACAAAGGAAATTCGAGATGCTTACGCCTCAATTTCACAACGATACGACAAATTGAAGAAGGATCTCAATAACGTTTTGGTTGTCGCAAATCAGCAACACCAAGGTCAGCGTTAGGAATACAAAGGAATAAAATGAAATTTTAAGACTTGGAACTACTTTCGGACATTTACGATGAATTACGATTACGATGGCTCGCGAAAAGTTGCGAATGATCTATGGAAAGTTCAGGTGATGATTCATTGAAGGTGATCAAATCGGGGGTAGTCAAAACAGCGCCATAATAGAAAACGTTCAAAACAGCGCCGTCAAATTTCTCAAAATCCAAAAAACTAGGCCGGTTCAAGTTTTATACCAAAAATTCCTTGCGTTCTTGGCTACATGATGGTTGAAACAGTTTTTAAAAAAAGTTAATATTTCATAGATAAAAAGAGTACTCAAAATGGGTCTCTAAAGATATTCAGTTAACCAACTGAGTATCACTCGACACACATTTTGAGTGCTCTTTTTATCTATGAAATATTAACTTTTTTAAAAACTGTTTCACCCATCATGTAGCCAAGAACGCAAGGAATTTTTGGTATAAAACTTGAACCGGCCTAGTTTTTTGGATTTTGAGAAATTTGACGGCGCTGTTTTGAACGTTTTCTATTATGGCGCTGTTTTGACTACCCCCATCAAATCATGGTTATTTTACAGCAAAGGATCATTTGGAATTGGGCCGAAATCAAATTTCAGGAAGCTCAAGCCAGACGATCGGGTTCGTATTTTATTGTCTTTTGTTCAATTATGTTTTAGTCAAAGCCAAAAGAAATGCGGCACTATAAAAATCTGACAAAAAAGCTGAACAGAGGAAGCGGTGACTCTTATTTGATTTTATGTAACTGTAACATTTTAGGCACATTAATGATGTTAATGCTGCCTATCATTTGAATCACGAATTTGTTGCTTTAATCCAATGGGTTGACGATAAGGTAAGGAATTTTGTTTTAGTATGCTAAATTGCTAAATTCAGATCGCTGTATTACAAAATCGGAAGACAACTCATTGGCTGGTTTATCTTCTTTTGAAAAGGATCTACAAGATTACAAGAACACCTATGAGGTAACGAATTGTTCTTATTCAAGTCACACTTTTATTTTCAGCAAAAGATGCAACAACTTGCCGCTCAAGCCAATGAAATATCCAACGACAGCAGTGTGCAAGCCATCTTCCGACACACTTTGGATGACCTGAAAGCAAAATGGAAAACTCTCGGCGCTGCATTCGCGGTCAAGGAACAGAAAGCGACGGCACACAAAGCCTTGGACAGTTGGTTGCACAATGCAGCTGAATTAGATGGACATATCTCTGAAAGGGTACGGTCTAACAATAAGTCTGCTAATGTGTACATTCTTTTATAGGAGATTTTGATCAGTGAAGAAATCATTGAGTGTGACAATATATTGATTACCAAGTTGAAACGAGATTATGAAATGGCCGAGAGTGATATGGAAGATATGGGACGACTTCTTGATCGATTCATCGATTTGGTATTTTGTAATTTTGTAAACATTTTATTCTTGCTTAAGGCTGATGCACTACGCCGACGGTTTCCGGAAGTCTTTCCAATGGTTTATGATGGACAAAAGAGATTTGCGAACGGTGGAATGGATTGGTCAATAAGGCAAGTTTATGATTCCATTTAGCCGGAAGAGCGACGAAGTGAGATCAGAGAACTTGTTCCCCTCTACGCCTTCCTCACGGAGAATCAAGATTTATGCCAATGTATCGAATCCGAAACAATTGTTGCAAGCTCAACGGATACGGCGAATGATGTTGAAGGAATCAAGGCTATGCTCGATCAGCATTCAGAACTCTGGGACGATATTTCGGCACGCAAAAGGGATCTGATTGAGCATGAGAAGTGAGTTTAAGGTTAATGGCTTCAAAACTTAAATCTTTTAGAAATGGAGGAGATCTGATTGCCGCAGATCATCTTGCCAAGAAGGAAGTTGCTGAACAACTCGAAAAAGTACTTGACTTAAACTTTGTTATTTATTGCTTTTATAGGCAGTCATAGCTTTTAATGGATTGCAAGAAGCATGGAGTCGTCGCAACGAACTGCTTGAAAATGCATTCGAGACACAAAAGCTTCTTCGTGAGTATGAACAGGCGGCGTCAAATTTTTTATGACTAAACATTTAATTTTAGTTTAATGAGTGGTTAGATCTTCATGAAACAATGATTGTACCTCACGATGTTTCGGGTGAAGATGTCGATGTTTTGTTGACGTGCCAAGAAGACCTCCAAAAGTCCGTAGAAAAGAAACGGGACTCGTTTCAAAATTTCAATTATATGGCTCAAAATTTTACTATCAAAAAAGAATGTCGAAAAGGTAGATTGACTGGCTATTTGTGATAAATGGAAAGATTAAATTTAGGATTCCATTGAAAGTCGACAGACACAAATCAACGAACGTTGGGAGCAATTGACTCTAAATATCATTGACTCAATTAGCCAGATTGGTGATGAGAGAATCATCCAAGTATGTTTTCTTTTGGATAGCGACCTCAATTTAGAACTTTGGAAAACAAGCTGAGGAAATGGACCTCTGGATTCGGGAAAAATTAGTGGTAGCATGGGTTTTGCTTAGCTGACGATACAGTTTGATTTAGATCTTGAAGGAGATCGAATATTTGCCTGAAAAGGAATTGGACAATGTCACTCAAACCCATAAAAGCCTGGGAGAAGAAATTGGAGCCAATAACGAACGAATTGATACGAAATTTTTGCTGTATGAGTAATTCATAAAACATCATTTAACGTCATTAAGCTAGTAGTTTTGATTTTAGTCAAAGTTCTGAATGCTAGACAAGAAGCAATGAACAATTCTTGCAAAAGTATGGATCAAACTGATTTGTTAAGACTTTCAGTGAATCATAGATATAATGAAAAAAAAAACCTTACTACCTCGCCAATGAACTTTTATTTGAGATGTGGATTAATTAGATGCTTGGATATTCAAACAAGGTATTGTATGAATGAATTGTATGAAGACTATGTAGATTTAATCTTTCGAAAATCTGAGGTTTTAGGGGACTTTTCTCGGAGAGATTTATATGAAAAATAGAAGGAAGAAACCTCAAATCACGACATATCCCTGAGCGCGAAGTTCAGCGATAAGCGGTCCAGTCAGCTCGGCGTTTGCAAATTCCATATAGAGGTCGACCTCAAATAGATCCGGCCATTGATGTCGTCTGTGATTTCCCTGAAAACGATCCAAATCGGCTGATATATGATTCCAATAAATCGTTGAAAGTAAAATGGATCTAACTGAACCCGAAAAAAAATTAGATACCTGCAGCATGACGCCCGGAATGATCAGGTTCGTGACCTTGTCGTCCGGAATCCGTGGCAATTGGTACCTTTTAGCGCGGATTTCACGTGGATGAGCTGTTTCTATCACTCATGAATGATATGGCTAAAATTGAGGCAGTTTTGGTAAAAGATAATGGAAAGATATAAGATCAGCAAAGAAATTCACGAATAAATTCAAACTTCACAAAAGAAATCCGAACTTTTATTCAATGAAAATGGGAAATAAAACTAACATGCTTGGATCCATTTCAGATTCATCACGTTCGAAATCATCTTCCCATGGGTCGTCTTCTTTTGCCGGCAAAGAAGCATTGCAAATTAGTGGAATCGACTGAAAAAGAACTCATTAATTAATCTTTTTCAACCACTATAGCTACCTAGACATCCAGCTCAGTGGGAGGATGTGTGCGAAAGTAAGGATCAATCCCAATAAATGTTGAAACAGGTTATATCAATCAAATGTAACAACTTCCTTTCAACAAAACAAAACAAACCTGTTGATAGCCTCCAATATTTGTCAGTTTCACCAAAAAATCAGCGAATTGCCCCATGTCGACAAACTCGGCACACGTGAAGTTCATCGCATTGACCATCATGTTCGTGCTAAAGGTCGAGAAAGAAGTCAGATTCAGAAAAACAAAACAACCTCCAGGACGACTTCTGGCAAAGTGACCTGTATCTTTCCAAGTGCCCTCACTGAAAATTTGCGCAGGCTTGCATTCTCTGGAAAAGCGAAACGAAAATTTTTCGTTTGATAAACTATCTCCATGAAAGTTGGCTCAAGCTTCTGGACGTCGAAATCCGTGAAGAAGCAGAGTTGAGAACGCATCTTGACAGCACTAAAAAGAAATGTTAAAATATCAAAATCGTGAATCAGTTGAAGTGTTGGCCTGAAGCATCAACGATTCAAATTGGGGCTTATAATGTAAAAAACAGAAGAACCTTATGTATCAGATCTATATAATAGAGGATGATGCTTGCTTCAACGATAAGTTTGAATCAACGAAAGCCATCAAAAATCCAGACAAAAGAACGTCTTAGTAAGGCTAAGAGTTGAAGTAAGATTTACGCATAGTCTCTTGCAACATGGGACGATAAAAGCACACGGTCCGTAGACAACGGAGCAAAGTCAGAACAATAATAAACAAAGAATAGTGAGACGCTCGGCAACTAGGCGCTTGTTTATGAGACGAAACATGAATAATAAAGAACAAAAGAAGACCGAGGCCGTCTCTTGAAAAGTAAAGATATTCAGCCTAACCAATTTTGGCCACTTAGAGCCTGAACAAAAGTTAGACAACGAGACGCTTCTATGCCCGTTCATTAGAGTTTTTACGGTATTCGGCCTAACCATAACAAATCCATCTTTCGTTATTATTTATCTATCGTAATTCAATGATAGCCCACTGTATATATTACTGATTATCATGTATTAAGCTGGTGCTTGAGTTGTTTCTCATTTTTTCACGTTTCTTTCAAATTTTACGAGTTTTAGTGATAAGGCTATTTCTTAGCTTTACTGCTATCCTACTTATTACTAAAAATGCCTAATGCTACTTCTTTTTTACACAACCTGGACCTAAGAATCTGTTCAGTAGATCTACTATGAGGAGGGTTTTGAATTAGTTATTTTCTTTTTTTCTAGCTCTCTACTTCTATCATTTTCATTAATATTTTCTTATTGCTTCCTGATTTTTCTGATGGAATTCATGAACCTAGGGTTCTACTTTCTAGAAGCATTGTAGAAGAGTTTTTTTATATTTTCTAACAAATCCATCATTCGTTTATATCGATAATCTTTGGACTGGTTCTTTAGTCCTTTTTTAACCATCCACTTTATTGATGTTGGCCGATATTTTGTTATTGCCTTCGGATTTTTTGACTGAACATTGAGTTTTCAGAAATATGCAACGGAACAATCGGATGACCTTTAACGTCGATGCTCAATTCGCCATTTTGCGACGGGATTTGATCTTGTGCTTGTCGGATTTTTTTTTCTTTTTCATGCTAAAACTTTCTCCTTTCTTGCACTAAAATTCTCGAGATGAAGTCGAGAAAAAGCCAACTCGAGATGAAATCCACGCCCAACTGCTCCAACGATTTTCAAGAGGGATTTCAGCGGCCAAGGCAGCACGAGAAATCAATCAATTTTATGGAAACAGAATCGTTGGAACGAGTACTGCACAGGAATGTTTTCACAAATTCAAGACGAGCAACACGAGGATCAAATGGAAAGAAATGTACCAGATAAATGAACATGAAAAACATGAAAAATGTACCAGATGACAAAGTCACTTAAAATGCAGCGAAGTAGCCCGTTTAAAATCAGACACGGTGGAGATCAAACGCAACTTGTCGGGAAGGGCAAACTTTAATCACACGATTTACAAAAAAAGCTCTAGAGGATTTAGAGCAAGCAGATTTGGATAAAGATAAAAGATAAAAGAGTCACGCCTAGTCGCCAAAAGCCTCGAGTTTAGCCGAGAAAAAAACTTTTAAAAAGAGGATTTTGATGTTTTCCTTTTACAATTTTAAAGCACTCAACCAAATCTATGATAAGACGGCGCTGTTCTAAGGTTTCAAGTGAGAAAAGTTCAAGTAAGAAAAGAAAAGAAAAAAGAAAAGAGAAAAGAGAAAAGTTTTGAGATAATATTTGTACTTTTTACAGAATTAAATTCAAAATTTATAGTCCATTTATGAAAGTCAAAATGAATAAAACGAATAAACGATAAAGCATTAAAAAGAAATTCATGATTCATAATAATGATAATCTTGCTTAACGTATTATATTTTTTTTTGTCTGGAAATCTAATCAAAAAAATACATCCTCAACAAGCTAGAAAGACTAGAAAAGTCTTTTTTTTGGTTCCTTTCCGTCAAGGGTTGCAATTATGAGCACAAGGTGTTAATTTGAAAAATCTTTTCAACTCTGATGCCAATTTTTCTTCGGTTCACTTCCGTTGCCAGTAAATTCATTTACTTTTTTCAAATGGTCCTCATCACTCAAATCATTTCCTATGTGGCGAACTTTGTGACCGCGGTTGTCCTCGTTTGGGTCACCCAATTGTTAGCTCGAAATCGTCGATATCATCCGAATTATCGGTGGGGTATAATTAAATTAACAGTAAAAAAAACTAGACTTACTAATTGTAGAATATTATAGACTATTAAGTGAATATTTCATACAGTTAGCATCACAATTTCTTCGTCCCAACTGTTTCCATAGAGACAACAAATTTAAATTGTAATTGAAGCCGATAGGCAAATCAAAACAGTTTTTATACCATTAGAACTAACTGTAAGTAGAAATTCTACACACCAAAATCTCATATTAGCAACGGGAAAACGATTTTAAACGATTTTTCCAAGAGTTGAAACACAAGTGATGGTAAACCTTCTAATGCTTGATATGTAAGCGGGTTTTTTTTGATTTTCTATCAATGAGAAGCTGATACGACACTGTATTTGTATTTGTATTTGTAGACATGTATTTGTAAATATAGAAAATTCTCTGTAAAATATTTCCCCATACTTTCTTATTTTAGCCTTAGCTTTGTTCTCTTAAACGGCTCAGTTCTCTATCTAATGATCTCAAGTGTCGTGCTTGTGTTTATCGGATGGTCCGAGTTCACAGTTCGCTTAATAATAGAAAAATTGATATCGTCAGTAAACGTAGTTCTCATTTGGCTACTACATGTTAAATCAACTTGGATGGATCTGGTATAAAGCGGCTCTGTTGACATTTGTCATGGAGAGGCTTGTGGCTTGTTTGATGACAGATAGCTATGAAAGGCTGGACACTATTCGATATCAAATAATATTGATGGCATTCACGTTTCTTATCTTTATCTTATTGCTACTAATTATGTGGTTCACTAGTGAGTTTTCTAAAGTCTATGCAAGCATTTGTTTAAGAAAACAAGTCTTTTTCAAGTTGAGTAAAAAAAATCTTGCTAGACTTTACATTTTTTGTCTTTATTCTATTGTTATTAATTACCGTAAATTTATTAGAACAAAACTCCATTTACATTTAAAATAAAACGACCTAGTTCCGCAAATGATCAAATGACGCAAAAAAAATTGGCGAAGTAGCCACCCCCAAAAATTAAAATAGAATTTTTTTTGATTTATATTCAAACTGGGCAGCTACGCAATGTTTAAAATTCATTTTTAAAAGCTCATTCTTTTCATTTTTGCGCTAAACATTTATTAAATTTATCTCTTTCACTTTTTTTAACGATTATATTTATATTTATATAATAATTTATTCTTTTTAGGAATGGGATCAATTGAAGAGAGATCCCTCGAAAAAAAAAAAAAAAAAAAAAAAAAAAAAAAAAAAAAAAAAAAAAAAAAGAAGAGAAAAAAAAAAAAAAAAAAAAAAAAAAAAAAAAAGGAAAAAAAAAAAAAAAAGGGGGAAAAAAAAGAAAAAAAAAAAAAAAAACAGGCAATCGATGCAAAGACGAACCTTGAAATTCTTGCCTATGCCAAACGGACTTCGAACAATGCGGCTGCAAACAAATTTGGTGTGTCACGTTCGTCAATCATTTATTGGAAAAACAAGAAACGAAGCTCGGTGATCTCAACAATAGGAGAAAACGATCTCATGGAGGTGGCCGACATCTTTTGGCGGCAGAAGTTGTTCAGTTGGTCATCGATTGGATTCGATCTCAACGCGACGACAAGAAGCGAATAATTTGATAGTAAAAAATAGAATTTGAATCAGAATGGAATTTACAAGAGCAGAGATCAATTTCAATAAAAAGCCACGGATGGTTAGAAAGTTTCTTTTAACGGCATAAACTCTCTTTGCATGTACCGACAACCCAATGTCAGAGACCGCCAAGGACTACGAAAATCTTCTTGTGAAATTTGTCCTGGACCTTTGCGAAATTCGAAAAACCAACAATTATAAGTTCATTTTTGCGGCTGATGAGATAGAAGTTTGGATCGATGCATCCGGAAGCAAGTATATCGATGCGCAGGGAACCAAAGAAGTCGAAGTATTTACTACGGGGAATGATGAGGTGCGCATTTCGGTAATGTTGAGTGCCAGGTCGGATGGTAAAAAGCTCAAGCCATATGTCCTTCTTCAAAGGAAATGCGTATATCCGGAGATTGTCGAAAAATTTGGAAAGAAATTGATTCTCGTTTGGAAAGGAACTAACTGGTTCAACGATAAAATTATTGCCAACTATTTGTGCTATGAAGATTGGATGCGCTTGGATAAGTCAGAACTCACGAAAGGAGGAAATCCGAAGCCACCATCGATGGAGCACTACTTGAGATGGATTTCCGATGCGTGGGATAAACTTTCTCCTGAGCTAATCGCCAAGTCGTTAAGCGTGTGGAATTTCAATTGTTCTGGATGAATCCGAAGATCACCTCATCCAATGCTTTGAGCCAGAAGGAGCAATTCCAATAGTTTTCTTTTGTTAGTTAGATAGTTTTGTTGCAATTTATTTGTTTCTGTTTTCAAGACTTGCTAAATTGAAGGATGTTCGTTTGGATGAAGAACGCCGAATTGTTACAAGGATTGGATGCCGAGCTGAAGATGCAGAAGAGGAAAGTGATGACTTGAATCTCTTCGATTTTGATATGCCGCTAGATTTTATGGGCTATAAAGTTTTGATTTGTTAAGATTGATGTTTTTAATAAAATATTTCTTAAATGAAATACGCCTTTTTGAAATGAATCCTTCATTTTGTGGCCATTCGAGTGAAAAATAGAACGATATTTCGTTCTAATACGGCATTTACTCTATATAGTTTACAAGAGAGTTTTCCATTGAAGCCTTTACTTGAACTGACGATAAATTCAGAGGATATTGCTGGTATCTACACGGTGATTTGGACGGGTTTTATGCAAGCGATCACACTTCCGGTTAATTATTCTTGGTTATAAAGTTAGTATTATCTAAAAAGTTATAGATAATGTTCTTTGTGATAACAAAAACGAGAGCCGAGTGGAACGATCGGCATCGGGACGCTACATTGTCGAAGGTAACGGTCTCTTCTTAAACAAATCAGACTTGGGTATCATTTTTTATCATATTAAGAAGCTTTTGAGCTCAAAATCCCATCGTTTTTAGCGTTTTCAACTAGCCGAATCGCGCTCGACAGGCCGCTTCTTTGTGCCGCTAGTAGTGGGAAATTTTTGCTTGGTGCTATTTTTTCTCATTTGTCAATCATTAAACACGTTCGCTAATCTACGTCTTGCCACTCAAGAGTTTGTGAGAAATCTTATTGATTTGGTTTGTGGTCGCAATTCAAATACAGATTTAAAGCTTTTCTAGACCGACTTTCTCTACCGTATTTATTACACATGTTTGGCGGTGAGAGCCGTAGAAAAGTGGTGGCTCGTCGCATGGGATCAGCTTCAAGATTTGAAAGGGTGGATTCGGGATAATTCGAGTGTCCGACAGAGGAGAAATCGAATACATCACTTGTCGGGTACATTGAATACATAACTTGTCGGGTACATCGAATACATCACTTTGAATGCCATAAGACTCTTCTATAAATCTCCTAAAAGAAATATCAGCTCCAAGATCTGTCCAAGAAAATTCACCAACGATGTACGATGAAATTTTCAGGAATGACGATGCTAAGCGAAGATGAATACTTCAAACATTTACGGATTCTGTGGGCTTGACAAATGTATATTGGTTAATTGTATCTACGGGTGTTTTGGTCATAAAAAAATGCCTATACACAGAATAAATCTGGTGCTTGAGTTGAATCTACAATCAACACCTATTTACGAGTCAATGTTTGCTAAAGTATGCCCTTTTCTGTCTTGTCCTACTGTAGTCGCGGCGACATTTTGATCACATTCAATACACACAACTTATCAGCCACGCGCAAGTTTAAATACAAGTACAAATCGCCAGGAAACCGCCTTAGTTTCTAAAGGCAGGCCGGGAAACGAACCCGGATCACCCGCGTGACAGGCGAGCATTCCACCACTGAACCAAAAAAAAATAGAATGAAGTTAAGATAATAAAAATAAACATTTATCGAATTAACATAGATCAACTTAATCAGAGTCACTTGGTAATCACTTATAGCGTAGTCCAGCATATCTCGATCGTCCTCATCTCCGGTGCACACAAGTGCTTCCTCTCGTTTGTAAGCTGTGCGCCAATCATATCTTTCTTCCATCAATAAAGGCCAGACGTGCTGTAGGCTACTTTCATTTTGTTAAAAATTAAAAACAAGACGCTACCCTAATCTTGGCTCTAATTTTATCCGATCTGGATTGGATAATAGTTAGACCCAAGGCTACGGTAGCTCTCTGTATCCTTTGTGAACCGGCAGAATCAAGTCAAATCTGGATAGTTTAGATAAAACGAAAGGCAAGAGAGGCTACAGTAGTCGAGAAGGATGGTACGTTTCAGGAAAGGAACAGCTGCATCATTGGATAATAGCTAGAGTAGTTTGCGCAAGTGGACACGTTTTAGGAAAACGCATTAGTAACGGAAATACACTCAGGGAGTACAGGGACAGTATTCGAACTCTGTGGTAAAGTAAAGCTTCATGCGGTCCGGTTTATATTAGATTGTCCCATAAAAACCCAGAGATTTTGAATTTCATTCATTTTCAACACATAGAAAAACGAAGAATCAAAATCAAATGATATATTTTTCGAAATGAATTTCTAACTTTGCATCTTGAGGTTGCTCAAGAAACTGCTTCACCTCAGCAATTTCAAATGCAAGTCGTGCCAAACTAAAACAAAAGTTTATTGCTCTAATTATTTAAAGAAGCTCACTCGTTCTTGTTCTATCTGTGCATACTTCAGCTTGTCGATGCTTTGCATAAACGTTTCCCATGATTCCTTCACCGAGTCAGGTCTTGCCAATATGTCAAATTCATCATCGATCCCAGATTTGAGAATGCGGTCAGCTTCGGCTTCAATTTCCAAAAGTTTCTTCGAGTTCATATGAACATCCTAAAAAACTCAAGTTAAATTATATTCAACTTTCGCCTTACCTTGATCAGCACTTCCAGCACATTCTCCGTTTTCACAGAAGCAGTTTCACCTACCGGGAATTTGATGATCGGCTGCAGAGCCTTCACTCCCTCGTTGGTCCCTAAGCTAATACGATAAAAATAGCATGTGCAGTTCAGCCATGTTTGACTACTACTGATATTCCTTATTACCTAGTGAAAATCAAAGAAACATACCCTCATTGTCAAATTCTTCAAAAGAACTCTGCACATTTTGTTGTCGCGAAGAGCCGGTAATCGTTTCCAACTATCACTCGCAATCATTTCACGAGGGCGGGCCAAGCGGTGCGAAAAACGATAGTAGCGATTCCCGGCAAAGGCAAGCTCGAATCCCCTCGCAAAATGGCGAATTGATTGAGCATCGACGCGAAACGTCATTCGATTGTTTCGCTGCATGTCTGAAAACTCAATGATCAGTCAAAAAATCGGAAGGCAATAACAAAATATCGGCCAAAAGCAAAGAAGCGGATGGTTAAAAAAGGACTAAAGAACCAGTCCAAAGATTATCGATATAAACGAATGATGGATTTGTTAGAAAATATAAAAAAAACTCTTCTACAATGCTTCTAGAAAGTAGAACCCTAGGTTCATGAATTCCATCAGAAAAATCAGGAAGCAATAAGAAAATATTAATGAAAATGATAGAAGTAGAGAGCTAGAAAAAAAGAAAATAACTAATTCAAAACCCTCCTCATAGTAGATCTACTGAACAGATTCTTAGGTCCAGGTTGTGTAAAAAAGAAGTAGCATTAGGCATTTTTAGTAATAAGTAGGATAGCAGTAAAGCTAAGAAATAGCCTTAACACTAAAACTCGTGAAATTCGCGAGATTGAAAGAAACGTGAAAAAATGAGAAACAACTCAAGCACTAGCTTAATACATGATAATCAGTAATATATACAGTGGGCTATCATTGAATTACGATAGATAAATAATAACGAAAGATGGATTTGTTATGGTTAGGCCGAATACCGTAAAAACTCTAATGGACGGGCATAGAAGCGTCTCGTTGTCTAACTTTTGTTCAGGCTCTAAGTGGCCAAAATTGTGTTTCTCGGGACCCAGGATAGCTAAAAAATTGGCAGACCACTCATTTTGAAGCTCTCAAAGAGAAACGACATAATATTAAAACGCAAAACGAAAAACTCAAAATTACGCCAGCTACAAGCAAAAGTACGCGACGCCCCTATGCCATGCCCCATCTATTAGAGTTTTTATGGTATCTTTACTTTTCAAGCGACCGCTTGGGTCTTTTGTTCTTCATTTTTCATTTTGCCTGTTTCATCCCATTCAACATTCAACAAGCGCCTAGCTGCCGAGCCTTTCACTATTCTTTGTTTATTATTGTTCTGACTTTGCTCCGTTGTCTACGGACCGTGTGCTTTTATCGTCCCATGTTGCAAGAGACTATGCGTAAATCTTACTTCAACTCTTAGCCTTACTAAGACGTTCTTTTGTCTGGATTTTTGATGGCTTTCGTTGATTCAAACTTATCGTTGAAGCAAGCATCATCCTCTATTATATAGATCTGATACATAAGGTTCTTCTGTTTTTTACATTATAAGCCCCAATTTGAATCGTTGATGCTTCAGGCCAACACTTCAAATGATTCACGATTTTGATATTTTAACATTTCTTTTTAGTGCTGTCAAGATGCGTTCTCAACTCTGCTTCTTCACGGATTTCGACGTCCAGAAACTTGAGCCAACTTTCATGGAAATAGTTTATCAAACGAAAAATTTTCGTTTCGCTTTTCCAGAGAATGCAAACCTGCGCAAATTTTCAGTGAGGGCACTTGGAAAGATACAGGTCACTTTGCCAGAAGTCGTCCTGGAGGTTGTTTTGTTTTTCTGAATCTGACTTCTTCTCGACCTTCAGCACGAACATGATGGTCAATGCGATGAACTTCACGTGGTTGATTTGTGTGCCGAGTTTGTCGACATGGGGCAATTCGCTGATTTTTTGGTGAAACTGACAAATATTGGAGGCTATCAACAGGTTTGTTTTGTTTTGTTGAAAGGAAGTTGTTACATTTGATTGATATAACCTGTTTCAACATTTATTGGGATTGATCCTTACTTTCGCACACATCCTCCCACTGAGCTGGATGTCTAGGCAGCTATAGTGGTTGAAAAAGATTAATTAATGAGTTCTTTTTCAGTCGATTCCACTAATTTGCAATGCTTCTCTGCCGGCAAAAGAAGACGACCCATGGGAAGATGATTTCGAACGTGATGAGTCAGAAATGGATCCAAGCATGTTAGTTTTATTTCCCATTTTCATTGAATAAAAGTTCGTATTTCTTCTGTGAAGTTTGAATTTATTCGTGAATTTCTTTGCAGATCTTATATCTTTCTATTATCCTTTACCAAAACTGCCACAATTTTAGCCATATCATCCATGAGTGATAGAAACAGCTATCATTTCATTGAAAATCCTTGATTTTAGGCACGTAGATCTTCTGATGCTGCCGCGATGGAGCCTGTTCGACGATTATACGTACCGGAACGTGACTCCGCAGTTTTTTGAGTTGACGGTTGCGGGAGATACGTTCCGTTTCGCTCATCCACCTGCTCATCGACGTGAAATCCACACTAAAAGCCGCAACGGATTCCGGACGGCAAGGTCACGAACCTGATCATTCCGGGCGTCATGCTGCAGGTATCTAATTTTTTTCGGATTTAGTTAGATCCATTTTACTTTCAACGATTTATTGGAATCATATATCAGCCGATTTGGATTGTTTTCAGGGAAATCACGGACGACATCAATGGCCGGATGTATTGGAGGTCGACCTCTATATGGAATTTGGAAGCGGTGGTGTAAGCGGTGCTGGATCGCTTATCCATGAACTTCGCGCTCAGGGATATGTCGAGAAGTAAAGTTGGTTTTTTCAATACCTTGTTTGAATATCCAAGCATCTAATTAAGCCACATCTCAAATAAAAGTTCATTGGCGAGATAGTAAGGTTTTTCTTAGGCCTTCGTGTCAACCGTCGCTCCTTTGATGAAAAAGTACGTTGAGCCATGGTTTGATCGTTGTTTTGTTAATAAATTTATTGTTTTCTTGCTTGTTTATGATAATCGCACTATAAAGAAAAAGGTGATTTTCTGAGATACGGGTTAAACTTTGTAAATTCGCGAACAGCGGAATAGGGCTCCGAGACCACACTTGCAATCGGCCCGATTCTTTCCAATCCGCTGAAGCAGTTGAGGTCTCAAAAATAACTAACCTTAGGCTGGTGTCTGCATTACTCGGTCAGCCCATTGAGGAGTGGTGAGCCACGTTTTTAGGCAGGGACTCTCTTGTACCTTGGATCTGGGCTATCTGTCCAGTTCATAGCGAGAACATGGAGCACCAGGGGAGGTTGTGACCAGCCGATCGCGTACTATGTAGCCTACTTGCTAGGTCCATGGCGGAAAGGAGGGGGTCAGCTACGGAGCGTCGCCCATCAGGTTATAGGTTGATCTGTTGTCAGATGGTTTTTCGCTAAGACTGGCATGCCAGCACCATCCCAACCATCTCGATCCAGAGAGTTTTTGACTTAAAAGAATAAAAATGGAAGAATCGAAAAATTCGACCGAGTATGCACCTTGCGACCACAATCGTCCACCGTCTAACAAAGCCTCAGCCGTGGAAAAGCCTCCCATGGAAAAGCCTCCCATTTCACTACAGATTTCGTTCCTTTTCTCTACAGACTTGGTTCCTTTACTTCGAGGACTTTGTCGCCATAAACACTCATTTGGACCTCGAAGAAATCGTTTTTCTTGAGTAGCCGCTTTACCGTTTCAACATCCTTAAATCATAATATTATTTTTCTCAAACACATGCTCTCACACTTCCACAATCTTTATTAGCAAGCTTCTCTTCTGTCTCACCAATCCAATGTTCTAAATCGTTAGCCAATCTTTTGAACTTCTTGCGATTTCTTTCTTTCCCGAAAAACAAATTACAAGTGAAAAATCATTACCAAATACCATTTCTCTACAGATTTGGTTCCATTTCTCTACAGATTTGGTTCCTTTCCTCTACAGGTTTGGGGCTATAACGTTTTGATTTGTTAAGATTGATGTTTTTAATAAAATATTTCTTAAATGAATTACGCCTTTTTGAAATGAATCCTCTTTTTTGTGGCCATTCGAGTGAAAAATAGAACGATATTTCGTTCTAATATCGGCATTTACTGTATATAGTTTACAAGAGAGTTTACATTGAAGACTTTACTTGAACTGACGATAAATTCAGAGGATATTGCTGGTATCTACACGGTGATTTGGACGGGCTTTATGCAACGGGCTCAAGAGTTTGTGAGAAATCTTATTGATTTGGTTTGTGGTCCGATTCAAATACAGATTTAAAGCTTTTCTAGACCGACTTTCTCTACCGTATTTATTACACATGTTTGGCGGTGAGAGCCGTAGAAAAGTGGTGGCTCGTCGCATGGGATCAGCTTCAAGATTTGAAAGGGTGGATTCGGGATAATTCGAGTGTCCGACAGAGGAGAAATCGAATACATCACTTGTCGGGTACATTGAATACATCACAATGCCATGTGGCCAATCCCTCGTTCGTAAAACCCAAGCGGGCGCGAGCGAAAATAGTCGTTTAATCCGTCCTCGAGTTCGCTCTCATCTTTGAACTTTTTACCGCGTAAAAAAATCCTTTAGCGACAAGAACAAGTGATATTCAACAAAATTTGAAGGGGCAACGTCCGGAGAATACGGTGCATGAGGAAGGATATTCCAGTGCAGGTTGTTCTTCACAAAGTCGATCGATCTTTCTGATTTGTGGGAACTTGCGCCATCCTGAAGAATGAAAACGGGGCCGTTCCATTTGTTTCCATAGAGCAACCTCACGACTTTTTGTTCCACTTTTTGCATATGACGTAGGTAAACATCGGTGTTAAAATTTTGTCTCGGTTTGAAAAGTTCCCAGAAAAGGACGTCCGTCGAACACCCGCAGACGCACAACATTAGCTTCTTTTCGTGGATGTTCCGTTTTGCTACCCTTTTCCCTACTTCAACCACTGCCTTTGTAACACTTGACCATCATAGAAAATCCAGGTTTAATCGTGAGTGATGATGTTCGAAAGAGAGGAGGAAGCCGACCATGCCGGTATTCGCTCCACAAGTGGTGGCATGTGCGCTTTCTTTTTGCATGGACTGTTTTCGACATTTCGTGTGGGATTTGGCGTTATTTTCTCCAATTTCTTCCCACTTTTCGCAGTCATCGCCACACACTCATTTGTCCACAGTAACGTCCAGCTAATTTCCGAGTTGGTCCATCGGGGTTTCGCAGGAGTCGGTGCCTCAGAATCGATCGATCTATTTTCCGGGGTCGGCCTCTTCCCCTCTTCCGTTTGATCCTCGTGTTGCTCGTCTTGAATTTATGAAACCA